CTTAATATATATACTTAAAATATAATTTATAAAAAGTATTTTAATCTATTGTACAGGAGTATTATTTCAAAAATATTTATCAAATATAAAATCATCTATTATAGATAAAATATCTTAATTTATTTATATACATAATAGATTAAATATGAGATTGTAATATGTAGATTGAGAGGTATGATACACTTATTTACTTACTTCTTATTTTTTCACTTCTAGATACTGTTGACATTCCATCAACAAATCTAGTTGTAAATACTACATTAGCATTGTTGAACATTCCATCTTTTAATGATACAACAATAAATTGTGAATGTTTAAAATGTTTTTTTAACATTATACCAATATTCTCAGTATGAGAGAGATCTAATGCAGCATCAACTTCGTCCAAAATATAAAGTGGAGCAGGTTTAAATAAAAGCATAGCTAAGATTAAAGACAAAGCAACTAAAGATCTTTGTCCCCCTGATAATTCTCCTAACGATTCTTTCCAAATACCAGAAAATGCAATTTTTACTTCTAATCCTTCTGTAACTGTTTGATTTTCACAAGGTTGTAACTTTGCATCAGCTCCTGGTAATAAACTACTAAAAATTGACCCAAAATCTTTATTTACCTGAAAATTAATATTAAATTAATATAATAATTATGTAATATAAATTTAATATTTCAATTTAATTTAAATATTAAATAGTAATACTTGTTCCCAAGCTTTCAATAATGTTTCTCTCTTTTTTTCATCTAAATGCTTAATTGTCTCTAATATTTTTGTTTTATCATTTTCAACTATTTTCTTTTTTTTCACCATTTCATTAAATTGTTCTTCTTCTTTATCAAGAAGACTAATAGCACGTGTATTAATACTTCGACTGAGTTTTTCACGCATCGATTGTAATTGTTGTACTTTTTGTTCCATTTCTTTAGGTTTATTAACATTAAAATCGTAAATACCACCTAATAAAATATATTTTATAATTATATATTATATTATATATATTATATATATTATATATTATATATATATATTATATTATATATTTATAATTATATATTATATTATATATAAAATAAATTTAATATATAATTTAAACTTATAAAAAACAAATGTTACCTGTTTTTCCAAAATAAATTTTATCCTGTTCAATCCATTCATACTTTTGAATAAGTTCAGAAACATTTTCTTTACAATTTTTAACAATATTCTTAATTGAATTAATTTCATGATTTAATTTTTTAATATCCAATTCTGTTTCTTTATTTTGCTTTATAATATCTTCTTTTCGCGTCATAAGCTTTCGCAAATAAGCATTTTGTTTATTAATATTATCTTTTTGTACTTTTATATCAGATTGTATACGTTTTACATTAACTTTTACTTCATTTAATTCTTGTTCTAATTCATTTGCTTTTTCTTGTAATATATTTAACTTTTCTTCAGATGTTATTAACTGTTCTTTTCCAATTTCAATACTTTTTTGTAATTCTTTTATTTCCAGCTCAAGCATATCTGCTTCTTGTTCTCGTTTTTGCCATTCTTTACGACTGTTTTCAGCTTTTGTTTTTAATCTTTCTAATTCAGATTTAGCATTTTTCAACTGTTTTTCACGAATATTGGTAGCATCTTTCAATTGATGTTCTAATTCTTGAGCATGTATAGTACTTTCCTTTTCATTTTTTTCTACCACTGTTATTGTTTCTAAAAGTTGTTCAATACTTTTTTCTAATGAATCTATCTGCAAAAAATTTATACATTTACATTATTTTATATATTATATATATATATATATATTATATATATTATTATATTAACTATATTTTTCTAAATTGATTTCAAATCATATTTATATATACCTCCTCTTTTATTTTATAATATTCTGTTTGTTCTAATTTTTGTTTCACCATATTAATTTCATAATTTCGTAAATCAAATGTTTGTTTTAATGAAGTATATTTTTCAGCAATATTGTTTACATTCATTAATGTTGTCTCAATATTTTGAAGAGTTTCTTGTTTGGTATTTAATTTATTTTGTATATTTTTTAATTCATCTAACTTTAAAAGAACTGATCCAGTTTTTAATGGTGCACCACCAGATAAAATACCAGCAGGATCAACAACATCTCCTTCTAAAGTGACACATTTTTTCATTATATTATCATGAAATGCTATTTTCTTAGCAATTTCAATATCTTTACAAATAAAGATTTGTCCAAAAATCCATGTCATAGCAGATCTAGTTTCTTCTGGAAAATCTATGAGAGACAAAGCTGGTCGAACATTTTCTATACCACCTATTTTCTGTGCCAAATGAATTAATTGATTATCCATAGATCTGCCTCCTACTTTATTTAAAGGAATAATAGTTACACGTTTTTGTAATTGACCATGTTGAAGTATTTTCTTACTAGTTATTTCTGTATCTACTACTATATTATATAACTGAAAGATTAAATATTGAATGTTAAATTTGAAATATATACATTAACAGTGTTATTTAAAAAATAAATGTCATAAAAAAATCAAAATACCTTTCCTCCTGCAGCAATATCCAATGCATATGCTGCATTTTTATCTTTAACTGTGATTAATTTACATACAACTCCTTTTACTGAATTATGATTAAAATTAGAATCAGGTTTTTGATATTCAAATCTAATTTGAGGATATTTTGATTCAAAATGATCTATTTCTTCTTCTAATGCTAATATTTCATTTCTTAATTTATATCTTTGTTCTTTAAGTTCTTCCATATATCCATCTTTGTAATTTAATTTTTTCAATTCATTTTCTAAATTTTTCACTTCTTTTTCTTTATTTTCAAGATCTTTAGTATATTTCTTATATTCATCTCCAGTGTTTTTTAATTCTATTTTTTTTCTCTTTAGTTGCTCTCTATTATGATTTAATGTCATTTCACATTGTTTGCGTTGCGTTTGTGCTTCTGATAGACTCTGCTTAGTATTTATTAATTGTTGTTCCAATGTTGCATTTTCACCATCTTGACTTTCTAATAAGCCAGAGCTAATTTTTTGATATTTTTCTTGTGCAAATAATACTGCTTTACAATCTTGTTCATCTGTCTCTTTTAACATTTTAAAAAGATCTTCAACTTTAGCATATTCTTTTTGTTTTGTTACAAAAATATTTTCATCATCAGCTATATTAATTTTTAATTGTTCTATTGCTTTTTTAGCAGCTTTAATATTTTCTTCATTGCTATTAAATTCAGCTGTTAATTTACATTGTTTTTTTTCTGCTTCTTTTAATTCATTATCCAAAGTTTCTAATTGAGTTCCTGTTTCCTATATTATGCAAAAAAATATATATATATAAAATATAAAAAAAAATGTTTTAATTATATTAAAAAATATAAATAAAAAAATATTTTTTTATATAATTAAAATATATACTAGATCTTTTTTTTTAGCTATTTCATCATATTCTTTTTCTATATTTTTAAGCTCTTCTTCACCATCATTAATGTTTTTTGTTTTTTCTTCTATTTTATTTCTAACAATTTGAGCATTTTCTTCTGCATTTTGACTTTCATTTAAAGCTGTGACATATCTCCATGCTAGACAAATTCTTTTACAATGTTCTAATTCTCTTTCAATACGTTGAAATTCAACATATTGTATTTTTTCTTCTTTAAGTTTTGATAATCTTGGACCAATTTCATTTTTCAAAATCTGAAATTTATTTAGTTTTAATTAAACTGTATAATAATAATAATAATGTTAAATATTTTAATAATAAATTACAAAAAATTTAAAAATTGAATCATACATCATTTATTTCCTTTAATTTACTATCTTTTTTTTCTATAGTTTTTAAAGCAGCTTCTTTTTTACTTTCATACATTCGAGTACCTGCAGCTTCTTCTATCATTGATAAAATTTCCATAGGTTTCATATTTAAAACTTTTGTAATTCTTCCTTGCATTATCAAAAAATGTGGATTATTAACATTTAATTGAACAGAACAAAACATATCTTGGACACGTTTATTTTGTACATTAGATCCATTGATCAAATATTTATTTTTACCACCAATTACAACTTGTCTTGTAACTATTATCTCTTCATGATGTTCATATCCCATAGGAGATGAATCTCTATCTCTATTATCAAATGTTATAGTAACACTAGCTTTTTTTATACCTGCTTGACCAGATTTATAAACTAAGTCTTGTAATGATGTTGCACGTACCTAAAAAAATAAAAAATATTTTCTTATTCTTAAATTGTTTTTTTATTCTGCTTTGATACAAATTTTATATTTAATGCTTAAGTAATATTAATAAGTATTAGAAGTATATTTGTCATATTTTTATATAACTTATTTCATTCTATTAATGAAAATATAATTGTTTTAAAAAATAAAAATAATATTATGTTAAAAATATATAAAAAATAATATATTACCTGTCCAAGGTTCGATATACCTAAAACAAAGCATATTGCATCAAGAATGTTTGACTTCCCACTACCATTAAATCCTGTGATTGCGTTGAATTCTTTATTGAAATCATTTATTTCAATTCTTTTTCCGTATGATTTAAATCCTTCTAATACCATAGATTTTATATACATTATGAAATTAAGTAAATAGAATTGAAATAGAATTGAAAATATTACTTTAATTACACTTAAGTTGATAAACAAAACTGCAAATTCAAATCGTGAAGAATAACCGGTATATTTATATATTTTATTTGGGCAGATATACAATGAAAATATCTACGATTTTATCTTTTTCTATATAAATTCCAAAATTCATTAAAAAAATTTTATATAAATCTTTTATATAATATTAAACTATTAATATTATTGTTTTTGTTATTTTAAAATAGTGTGAATATGTAAAAATATAAAATTGAAATATTACTAAACAATTTCTAGTAAAATATCATTTAGTGATATTTTAATGATATTTTAGGATGTCTTTTCGAACATCTTATGTTATATATGAAAATAGCGTCTCAATTTATTTATGTTTCGGTTTCAAAATATTTTAAAATAAAGTTAAAAGTTTTATTTATTTTTAAAACGCAATAGTATAAAAGGTAAAAATTATACCAAATAAATTATTTTTTTTAATATCAATATAAAATATTCCGAGATTTTATTGAAATTAAAAATAAAGCAAATATTTATATTGTATTAGATGTAATATAAGGTTATAACATAGATATAAATTTAATAAATCATAAAAATTATATTATATGAAATAAAATAATTTATTTAGTCAGTTAATAATTGACTAATAATTTTTAATAAGTTACTATCATATATAATACATTTTTTTTTTTCAAATTATTATGTTATTAGGATCATTATGAATATTCCTCCGATTCAGCAACCAGGAACAATTGGTGTAGGACAAATGACACAGTCTGTAAATGCTCAACTTCCTCAAAATCCACAACAAACACAACAAACACAAGTTCAACAGCAACAGCAACAACAACAGCAACAACAAACTCAAGAAAAACTTGATAATATTTCTAAAGTTAAATCATTAATTGTATCATTAAGAGATTCATTGGCCATAGCTCTTAAAACTGCAGCACATACATTACATCAAAATAGTTTAGTAGATGTTGGATCTTTGAAAGGTGGTATTGATCAGCCAGATCATAGATTCAATAAAAATATAGAGGAGTTTTATTCTATTTGTGACCAAATAGAATTACATTTAAAAACTTCTATAGAATGTACATCACAAAATTCTAGTTCTCTAAGATATCTTCCAGTACCAGTCATGCCACAACGTACTGATACTGTTGGTACTCAAGAAGCTTTAACATATCCTCAATTTTTAATGACTGTAAGAGCTCAAGTTGCATATGCTCGTGAAGTTCATGATACTTTAGTTTCTGCTGCACAATCAATAGCATCAGGTGAATAAATTTTATTTTAACAAGAAACTTATGAAAAAGATTGTGATAAAATATATAATAATATTTAATTATTAATTTATTATAATATAATACTGTATTTTTAATTTTTATGTAATTTTTATCTTGTGTATAATATAATAATACCTGGTATAATATAATAATATTATGATATTTTAATAAAAATCTAATATCTTTATCTTGTATATGTGATTTTTGTATATTTTATTTCAAAATAATGTATATATAATTGTAAAAAATTTCTTATACATTACATTACATTAAAAATTAAAATATGTATCTGAATTTAACAAAATTATATTATTCTGAATATTGTTTTTTATATTTATGATTATTATAAAACAATAATTTTATTATTAATATAATAAAATTATAAATAAAATATTAATGATTTATAATAAAAATATATATATATATATATAATTTTTTTATGGATCAGATTGTTTTAGAATAAATGCAACAAATTAATAATAATTAATATATATGTATATATATATATATATGAATTATTAATTTTTATAATAGATGTACATGTCTACAATTATAAATGATCTTTATGTAAAAAATATATATATATATATATAATGATCTTTATGTATAAAATAAATATATATATAATTAAATTTGAATACTTTGTTCTCATAGTATTCAATTTTATATATATATATATTCAATTTTATAATAATTCTAAAATTAATTAAAATTTTCAATAAATATAATTTTGAATACAAATATTAAAACATAATTTATACGTTCATAATTTATATGATAATATTAACTAGACATTTATCAAAATTAATCTAAATTATAATTAATATTACAACAATAATTATAATATTTAAATAATACTTCAATATAAGATATAGTTAAACATTTTGTCTTACAAAAAGGATTAACGTTTTTATTATTGTTAACTCTTGATCATATCATAAACGAAAAATGAAAAATCGATCTATGTAAACAAATGTTAATGAAAGTACAAAAATTTCAAAATACTTTATAAGAAATAGCGAATCAAAGCACAGAATTGCTTATCAGCCGTATGTTCAGTAAGCATATAGAAATAGGAAGGACATACCGGTAAAAGAAAGGTGGGGGAGGGGAGAGGCGTGCAGGAAACGCTACTGTCAGTTGGATTGGTGTTTTGTCCCGGCGCGCCGAGTGATCATTTGAAAAGGAAGGACCACCTCTGTTCACCATATTTGGCAAACTTTCCCTAATATGGTAACGTCTACTTCTAAATATGGCAGCCGGGGACGCCCTCTCGTTGATTCTTGTACCACTCCGCGCAATCTTTTTGCCGTAAATTTTGGAATATTCAAGTCACGCACAAGATATTTATCGATGAATCCAAAATCTCCGGGATAATTTTTATTTTTCTACGAAGAAATTTTTAAAGATCTTCTTCCAAGAAACTCTATTTCGATTGAGTGGACTACTTTTTTACCGCGTACGTGGAAATTGGTGGGGGTAACAGCTGCGCAGAAACATACGGAGGCACCGTGTTAGCACGTAGGTCAAGTTACGATACTCTGCGCGCATTCAGTTCGCGGGGAGCGCTCGTGCAGTGCGCGTTGTTGTCCCGTGTTCCTCTAGATGGTTGATCACGTGGGAAACATTGCGCCGAGTTTTCGCGATTCCGTGGCGGAGAAGGGCCGAGGGAAAGGGAATAAATGTGTGCGAGTCCGTAATGGACAACCCTAGCGGCGGAAGAGATAGTCGGTACGCAAGTCTTGGATACAGCATGGGGATGATAGGCAGCGACGCTGGCTCGGAAATGTACGGCCGACCGTCCACCTCCCAACTTACAACTTCTCAAATAAGCCGCGGTGGCGCCACCATGATGGCCGCGGCAGCCGCTGCAGGCGCACCGAACGCCGGCGTGGGATCTGTACAAAGGGGTATCAAGAGGACCACTTCGGATGTTTGTTACGATGACAGCAATGCACGGCAAGCTCTTTCGCAACAACAAGGCATGTCGATGTCTACTGATTGTGTTCCTGATAATCTTGAGGAATCATTTACAAGTTTGGGTCAACCGAAAAAGTCACCTCCATCAAATGGTAAAAAGACCAAAGGACGGGTCAAAATTAAAATGGAGTACATCGATAATAAACTACGAAGGTACACTACCTTCTCCAAGAGGAAAACTGGAATTATGAAGAAGGTTCGTATTCGGCTAACTTGTCAGTTTATTTTTTGTTAATATAAACACAGTGTATTGGATTCGTCAATAATCAATCAATTAAATTATCATTGAAATCAATTATCTCTAGTGTGATTATTAAATGTTGTATAGCCAATGTATGTGATGTTTCAAGTGTATTCATATGAGATAAGAAAATACATAGAACAAGCTGCAAATGAAAAGTTAGCTTTCACATGTGACGCATAAGAACAAAGAGAAACGTGTACTATCGATGTGTGGTTGCGTGGATTGCGCAAATCAAACATATGCCGATGACTTTTGCGAGCGCGCGATTTATGAGTGACAATTGTGCTTTCGCTATCGTGCATTTGTACATCAATAATGTATTTGTGTATTTTGGATTAAAATACACTGAACAAAACAATCGCACGTTAATTATGTCTTTGATATTACAAAAACGAATTTGTGAGAAATTTTAATAATCATTATATGATTTTTTTTACGAATCAACTGTAATTAATTTTATATTATTTATATTTATATAGTTATCATTTGATATTGTATGATATTATATTTAAAAGTTATAATTATATGATAAAATTTTATGTTTGTTAGAAAATTATATAATTTTTCGTTCCTTTTTTGTATCAAAATTTCGTTTTCTGAATCAATTCTATGAATAATTATAATGAATTATTTATAATAGATAATATTAACATTGTATTTTATATTTCAGTAATGAATATTTTTTCATTATAAAATATCTTAATATTTATGTTCATTTAAGTTTTAATTTTGTTTTCATTATTAATGATTAGAATTTTATTTTTATATTATTTTCATATTAACAAAAATAGTGCTCAAATACAAAATAATGTTTTTTATTTAAAAAGAAAACGAAAAAGAAGAATAATTTAATAAATATAATATCAAAAATAATTTAAAATTTTTTTTCGTGATAGATTTTTTAATTTTAACGTCAATTTAATTACATTACATTTGTTTGTTTGATCAAAACGCCGGTGTTTCTAAATCCGTAGAAGAACCTAAGGCAAATTGTGCATCTTTCATACGAATATAGAAAACCAAAGATAGATTGTTCCCCTTTTCTAAAGACGGGACTCTATAATTAGCTATGTTTTGACACGAAACTGACATAACTGTTTTATAACTTCATGAGAGAAATTAAAATTTAAACGAAATTCAAAATAAACAATGGTATTATGTAATCAACAGTATAAATTTAAATATTAAAATTTAAATTTATAAGTAGTATTAAAAGAATTACGTACTGCCAACAAAATTTTGATTTTTTTACTTTCAAAGATATAAAAATATATAATTTTGAGATAAAGAAGTAAAAATCTTCTTCAATTTTAAAAATATTTGTATAGCAAGCTCTTTCTTCATCTGTACAATATATGTATATCTATAGTAACATGTCATAAAGTAATAATTAAATTTTTTTGTAATTATCGATCGATTTTTTTATATTCATCAATCAATAATTAAAGATACATAATAATAGGAAAATGAATTGTATGAATATAAATTTAATAATACAAATCTGCTTTTTAAATTTTAAATTACGATTTAGATATGATAAAAACTACATTGAAAATGAAAATAAAATATAATTCTAATTTCACTTTTTTTACTTGTGATATTTATAGATAGAATAAATTTAAAAGATTTTAATTACAAATTACGAAAAATGACTAGAAGATTATTCAGAATTTCATTGCAAGTTATAAATACTATTTATTTTTATTTTACATAATATTTTGCAGAATACTTTCTTCAACTGTAAATAGCTGGCAATATTCTAATCTAAGTTAAATACAACGATTTCATAACTTTTCACTATGTTTATTCATCTTCGTGCCGCAGTGCTGTTCTCCCTCGAGCAGTAAGTTTCTTGTTAGCAAATTGAATTTTTACAATTTATATTCAATTTAAATATACAATGTAGGTATATTGTCATGAGAATTTCAGTTTTTCTATAAAAAAAAAAAAAAAAAAAAGAAGGACTTCGATAAACCTTGATAATTATGTTATTATGAGATATCTCTAAATATAAAGAATCACATATGTATTTAGAATTTTCATCGTATGTTCTTGTTTTGAATTAATATAAAAATCATGGTATTAATGATTGCGCAGGCGATTATGATTTACATAAGTGCATTTTATATCGATCAGTAAATAATAAGTATTCTAGTGATATACGTCGACTATTCAAATTCATACATTCAATGAAAAACTAATAATACTTTTCATAAAAAGATTTGAATTTAATGAATGAATATAAGATTCATAACTGGCTTTCTGCTTCGAGTAGATGTCTTGATAACTAATCACAATATATTTATCTGTTCAAAAAGAATCTGTTCACGATTCAATATTTAAAAATTTTAAATGTTTAAACATTTTTCGTGAATTAAAATTATGCACGATTGTTCACACGATTTTAAAATCGCTTTCAATCGAGCTCAATAAACGAAATCAAAAAAGCGAAAGAGATGAGAATAAAGGGGAAAAAAAAAGGAAGAAGAGAAAAGCTCGAATAAAATATCGTTAATACTCGATTGAAATATAGTCGAGTCGAGAAAAATCCCGAGACATCCCTAATTAATCGTTATCTTTGATTGCAGGCGTACGAGCTGTCGACATTGACAGGTACACAAGTGATGCTCCTCGTAGCAAGCGAGACCGGTCATGTGTACACATTCGCGACACGAAAACTGCAGCCGATGATAACGAGCGAAGCCGGGAAAGCGTTGATCCAGACTTGCCTGAACAGCCCGGACCCGCCCGCCTCCGGTTCCTCCGGTGACCAGAGGATGTCCGCGACCGGGTTTGAGGAGACAGAATTGACCTACAACATAGCGGACGACGAGCAGAAAGTAAGGCAACTGGTGTATGGCTCGCCGCACGGTGGCTCGCTGCACGGCGGATATCCTGGTGGCGGGCCGACCGGAGGTCCTCCTGGCCATCCGCCACCCCCGCCGCCGCCACCGCCGCCGGGTTCGCAGCACGCGCCACCCTCGCACGCGCAGCACGCGCACCTGATTGCGCATGCACACGCGGGCTCGCCGAGCTCGCACCTGGTACCCTGTTCCAGTCCTGGGCCCATGTTAGCCGGTGGCCCCTATCAACAATCCTGTCCCTCGCCTCTGCCACCCCATCACGCCGCCTACCATCCTCACATGTCGCACTCGCATCCTCAACGGTAGTACTATCCCCCTTGAACCTGCGCTCGCTCGTCCTCCGACCGTGCTCGCGTATCCGACTCATCCGTTGCATGCGTCAACACCAATCGTATATTCTTCTGATCGTTTTCATCTGATCGATGACTCTCGAATTGGAATATTGGAATATTGGAGAGAAGAAGATAAGAAAGAAAGAGAAACGGCAAAGGAAAGCGTCGGAACGCGAGGTCTAACGTATCCGTGGATATTATAGGTGATGAGGAGCCGAGAGGAGATGTTGCTCGATAAGAGTCGGTGTCCGCGGAAAGCTGGAGAACAGTTACCGTCGCCGGCTTCGTGACGGCGACGTAACTGCAATTATCCGCGTATCCTTATCGGGACCCTCGTTCACTGTCGACGATTGGCTCCGACAGTTTGACTCCCGTCTTACGAACGAATCTTCACGGCCGATACGTGTTCTTGCGATACGCGGGTGACTCTTCGAAATAGGTAGATTTTGGATAAGGATACTGTTGTACATTGAACGTGTTTTAAATATATACACGTTGAAGATTACTCATTCTTTCCCGTGTAGACGGCTCTTACGGTTTCGTAGGATAGAGTTTCACGCAGGGCTCCATAGGGGAACTTAATTGTTCTAGCGATTTCATTAGCAAGAAGCAGAAACCGGTGGAAAGAGTACAACTATGGTACGGTTTTTCTTTCGACCATTTTTGTTTCAACTTCGTAAGAATGAGTGCTAGGTTTCCGAAGCTTCTCTTCTGTTTCCTGGTTATTTTTCACACCGTCGAAGGGCTCCTCGAACAGACGCCTTGGCGTCGGTGCAATTCCGTCCATGGCGCGAATGCCGCCGCGTTCAGTTAGTTGTGTGGGAACGTGTTAAATTTTTTTTTTTTTTTTTTCTTCTTCTTTGGTGGTGATCATTCCCAAGGCAAGTTTCGAAGAATTAGGCGCATTATCATTACGAAGTATTTACGATACTTTGATGCCTCGTTATCGGGAACGTGTCGTACAGTCGGCGTAAAATCGTGTGTCGCGTGCAAGCTGAATAACGAATCAGTGCGGCGGAGGAAGTTCCGGACGACATCCGACTTTCTTTTCCGGACGATGAATATCGAAATTCTCGATGAGGCGCGCATCACATCCGGTGTCAATGAAAGTACGGTTATATTTTCTTTTTGTACGTGCGTACGTAGGGAGGATAGTAGCATCGCGATACGATATTCGCTACAATCCTAGGGCTCAATGTGCTGGACATTTCTTAATGCTTAACATGATTATAAATTAGAAATGGGAACGTTCCTCCGTTTGTAACAATGTTCAACGTTCGATTATGCATCATTGAAAAATTTCATTTTTTATACGATATAGTATATTTAATTTAATACCGATTAAAATTGTTAATTATTTTCATCTAACATCGAGAAAATTGTTGTAAAATTTAACATATTTATATCGGTGGTCGTTTCATAAATCTTTTTTTCATTCAAATAAATTATCGCGTCATTCTAATGGAATCGTCCATTTCCAACATACAAACTTGATACGTCGCTTATTATAAAGCCATTTGCATAATTCCCTGCCGTATCTGAATTAATTTATCGATATCGTTCTCGTCGACAAATCAACTTCACGGATACGTCGATACGTCGAAGGCTTATGAAACGACCGTGTGGAGAATGCTAACAGCGAGAAAATAGCTCGCATAATTGCGTGCCAGGTGCACTAAAAAGATTTAACCAAATCAGTCGACGAGGTAAAATCGAGGCTACTTATGGTAAACGTGCGCGCGCGTAAGCACACTCGGAGATCCTAGTACAGTTGTTAACGACAATCAGAACGATGTTTTGCCACGGCTGGCTCGTTGGGAAGAGTTTCAAGCAATTAACTCTTCTTTCGACTTGGTATCGCGAGTAGAACGTTTCTACGGACACCTGTCATCCTCAGGATAGGATCGAGCAGTACTTAACATAGCAGGTTTTTGGTACTTAATATGCTAAGAACGATTATTTCAATTATTACTTTCGTTATTCCACGATATTAATAAATGCGAATAGGCTCAGGGAGCGGTTTTTATTATTTTTTTTTTCTTTCTTTTTTTTTTTTTTTTCCTCTTTGACGATAGAAAAATTCGACGGCAATGTAATCTTGGGAATTGATCGTGATCAAGCGACGCTCGTGGTTAGCCGAGGCGTGTGATGATGTTTTCAATGAAAACCGATTGGAGCGCAAGAAAACGTACGGTGCTCCGTTTCCAACGTATAAATCTAGTCCAGTCGACGCGTACTATATAAATGTATACGAGATTTACGTCCACAATGTTCTATCCTGGTGAACATTGGCGAGAAGATGATCGATGGATATATATATTTTTTTTTCTCTCTCTCTCTTTTAACCGTTCGATCGTCCTAAAAATGATCGAACATCCTAGCTTTTGATAATTGAAGGAACAATTGAAATCGTAAAATTTATAATATTATATATTGTTTAAGAATTTAGTTTGTAATTAATAACAGATTAAGATATGTACAGCACGAATTTTTTTTTCGTCATTTTTTAAAATTACCAATGGAACTTCATTTATCTAAACATTATTTATTAGAAAGAAACTTTAATTAATTTCAATCAGATTGATCGAATTTAATGGGAACTTTTATTATTTGAACGAGAAATAATAGATATTTGGATAATTTTTGTCATATAAACTCCAATTATACGAATTATTTGTTCCTCGATGGATTCAAATAAATAATGTAGATGCTTTTAACGAAATTAATTTATTTTCATGGTATCATATTTAATTATATAATCATTTATAAGTATATTAAAAATTAGTAGTTCCAATGTTGATAATTGCAAACTTTACATATAAAAAAAAAAAAAGAAATTTGGAAAAGATGTTTTAAATGCTAGAAACGTATCATAACTTTTAATCGCAATCGTATTTCTTATTTTATTTTATTGCTCGTGGTATGAAAACGAGGATAATTAAAAAAAAAAAAATATATTAGGAAATTCAGAAAACTAGAAGAATTTAATGGCTAGATCTATACGTTAATCGAAGTCCAAAGACTTTTCTACGGTACGTACTCGTTCAAGTCGTACATCTTCGCGAAACGAACGAAACTCACAAGAAGACACGTATCTACAGGAACTTATCGTTTATCGAAGAACGAGAAAAAGAGAGGCAGATTTTTAATCGTGCATTTAGGATAATAACTCATGTGATGAATTACTCGAGGAGCCGTGTATTTTATACATATATGTATATTCTGTCTTCGTATCTGTCCCGTTTTCTTCTTTACTTAAATCGTATTTATAATTAGTTTATTACGATGATATCTCTCTTAATTTATTTAAAGATCTGTAAATACGTTGTAAGTTCGATCTATAGTCGCCGAGCCAACAAGATTCAAATGGAACTGTGGCAAACCGTGTTCGAAAAATCAAAAAAATAAATAAATAAATAAATTTCGATCTTTCGTATTTACGAGTTGTCTTCAAAGTAATTAAAGAATAAGAAAATCAAAAATCGAAACGTATCACGAGTTATTTTATTTATTCGATACGAAAAGATTCAGATAACGAAAGCAGCAATTCTTGTCGATTTTCCAGAAGAAAAGAAATTTAATCTTTATTTAATGATTTTTCTCTAATCTGCAATTACCTGTATCCGTTAATAAAATCACGAAGTTGCGTAGATCTCACGATTGAAACTGAAGGGTGGCGTTTTCTTTACGAGCCCCCGAACCTTCCCCACCCCCCTCACCAATTTTCAGAAAAAACGATCATTCGAGAAAGCGATCCAATTAAACGTTTCACCTGGTTTCCTTCAGTTCCAAATCGCTCGTGTATACTTCTTTACATGTAATGTAACAAAACCTAACGTACCTAGTTCGTGGGATTGGCGAGGCCGGAATCAAGGAAATATCAAATTCGTCCATGCGCATACATACACTCATTCCCTTTTTTTCTTTTCTTCCCATCAAAGATCCTTATCGAGGAGTGGCGTCCAATTTTTTTAAAATACTCATGTCGTTCAGGTCGAGGCGTTTCGCCTTTTCCTGGTGAACGAAAAAGAAAACAATAAATAAAAAAGAAAAAAAAAAAAAAAGAAAGGCCAACGAAGAAACGCGAGAAATCGTAGTACGTGGGTGCGAGTCCGAGCCAGTAGACCCGGCGGTGCACGCTTGGCATTATTGCGCATTGAATATACATATATATATATATATATATGTATATATATATATACATCGTATATATACGTGTATATATATACATACTATTGTGTGCATCGTACATTGTTCCGTAATGTGTTTGTACTGAAAGTGGCATGTGTAGTATTTGTTTGTTTGTTTGTTTTTTTTTTTTTTCCTCTCTTTCGTAGATTAAGTAGCTAGTATTTAAAATATCTTTTTAATTTAAATTCCCAGGCGAATCCCACCTGCCCTCCCCCGTCCCCTTTCTCGTTTCTTCATCAAGTAGAGAAAAAACCTCGATTCTCGTCCATTTTCACACATTATGCATGCTTACGTGTGTATGTGTTGTGTGTTGTTTTCTCTTCTTTTTTTTCTATTTTTTTTTTTTNTATATATATAAATATTATATATAATATTATATATAAATATATATAAATATATATTTAAAGAATAGATAGAAAAATAAATAGATGGAAATGTTACGTGGATGAAAGATATAAAAACGAGACGAAATATACGAAAAATCACGCGAGAGTAAAATTAAGGGAGATTGAAGGGGGAAAAAAGAAAAGAAGAAAAAAGAAAAAAATTGATAAGAAAAATATCCGATGGAAAGAAAAAAAAAAAAAAAAAGAAAAAGAATGTAATTTTATCCGTGGTCTCTCTCGTCGACGCACAAAGTACAAATAATATATAATATAATTAATTTTACGATTATGATATTATCCTGAATTACACACGGTAATCACGAATGTACGGGCTGGCGTGCCTTTTTAGTTTTATGTATCACATATGTGTAAATAGTATACTGTAAAATACTGTGATAATATTTATATTACACGTACGTATTATATTGTTTCGATTAATGATAATTACGGTCCCAAGATGACAAAATGTTTCGTCGAACGATACAGTTAGCCGATGTACACGCATACACACGAATAACATACGAACGCCAACAATAATTGGGCACGGGGGGTGCCAGTTGTTCGCGAAAGACAGGTAGGTATAATAATAAAAAAAAAAAAAAAAAAACCACCTGTTTTTTGACAGAAATACCAGATTTTTCTCTTCGATTGATCAAATTCGTACCTTTTATATTATATCCAATATATAATACTATACATCACTGTGTTGATAACGACGATGATGAAGAAATGTAATAAAACTAAAAAGAAAGGAATTTGTGCGATTGGGTAATAGTTTCGCATGAAACGCTAAACTAGTTGCGTTGAGATGATTAGAAAGAAACTGGCCTCCATCGAGGAAGGTATTAAAACAGTACGATCGAAGAACTTTTAACTCGGTCTCTCTTGCGGTTGATGATATTGTTATCGAAAAGAGGAGAAAAATTTTAAAAATTTGTTTCTTCCTGCTAATTATAATATTTTGAATTTTGTTGTTGACTTATTGGTGAGACATGATTTTTTACTTTTCGTCTATATGCGTGAGCGTACTTCTCGCGATTAGTATAAAATTAGCTAGATTTAACTGAATTGTTGTCTAATGTGGTTGAAAAAAATTCTTCATTGTTTTGTAAATAATAACGTGGAAACGGCGGTAGTATTGTTCGAAAATAGATAAAGAACTGTTACTTTTTAATTAAGATGATTTTTTTTCTCTCTCTAAAGAAATTAACGTGAATTACCATTACTGTAATTGATAAAAATGTTCACAAAACATTGGTGCAATGGTTGTTCGTTAATGCGATAAATAATCAAAAAAAAAAAAAAAAAAGAATAATTATGTTAAGGATTAAAAAAACCACGAGCTGCGTTCGATTATACGAGATTAAATAATAATTCCATTAACGCTGCGATCACTATTGTAAAAAAAAAAAAAAAAATATTCCGATCTGCTTGAAAATAAGACTCCGATCAACAGCATTCCATTTTGCCATTCATCCTTTCAGCATAACTTACAAGGTAGGTTTGCATCTCGATATTCGCGGAATTCATTTACAAATTTAAAGATTCTTTTTTTTTCAAAAGCAACACGTCTTGAACTTTTTACTATGCATCGTTTTAATTCTTTCAGACATAAATCAATCAAACGTGATTCTTATTCCGTGAAACTTAACTCCCTTGCAAAATGCCATTTCATCTTTGATTGACACGAATTTCTTCGCTTCTTCTTCGAATGTTTATATACGAATAAAATTAAAATAAACATCCTTAAATATGTATAGAATAAATCTGAAAGAGTTAAAAAAAAAAAACTACATTTCTCCAAGCTTAAAAGAACAAAGGTGAATAAAAAAAAAAAAATAATAAAGCAACAAATAAAATCAAGAAGAAAACCTCAACTTAAGATAAGTATCTCTAGGATGCATCATCAAACACCCCACATATATATACATCTACGAAAAAAGAGCCGCCACAAAATTTCAAATCCACCATTAATAAAAATAATGAAAAGAAAAGCAATTGAAATCTCCCTTCACGGTGGTATCGTACGGAGGGGGTTCGTTCAGGCCACGATTTACGATCTAACGACTTAACGATTATGATGCATTTCGCTAAGAGGGCACCCTGGTGGAATCGCGGCCACTCGGAGGAAAACGGCGAAGAACAACGGCGACTGGGTGGCTGGCAGGGCGAAAGAGAGAAGGGCGGTAAACAGGTGGGGAGGAAATCGTAGGGAAGGGAAGAGAGAAAGAAGGCGGGGGAAGAGAGAGAAAGAGGGAGAAAAAGAAAGAGAAAGAGAGAAAGAGAGAAGGTATGGAAGGTGGAAGCAGAATACCATATACGGTCACCTTTGTCAAAGGCTGGTTGTCGCCATATACAGGCAATGTTCGCGATGGCAGATACTTATATAGAGTCCAACTTAAGAATCAGGAATGCCGGTTTTTGTCGCGCCTTCTATACACACCCGTGGTAATGGGGGGTACAAATACGACTCGGAAGTGATCGCCGACAGAACGGCTCGCTGCACGCGGACAAGGGGTCGCGAGACCAGCCCTCTCCTCCGTATGGCTTTCGGAAATCCTTCATGGAAACCACCGTGGTGACCGGCCTTCGAGATTCGAGAGCTTGCGAGTTGATCAAAGATATGTAATGCAATACCACCGCATGAAGCTGAGCAAATAATTTCCGTGTTACCATGGGTGAAAGGTATAGTTTATCGAAGCGATCTTTCGAAGTTCTAGTTTCGACTTTTATATATATATATATATATATATATATATTGGTTTTGGAGTTAATTAAAAGGATAACGTGCGTTGGCGTGATACGGTTGAAGTATTTGATCGATGATTGGATTGGATTTAGGCTAATTTTGGAATTTCATCGAATCTAAAATTGTAAAGAGATTTCAGATTTTTTTCCAGAATATTTTATTGAAATATCATCGTATGTTTTGGAATCGCATTTCGTTAATTGCAAGTGGTGAAGGATATATCTTTCAGCACACGGATATATAATTGAAGTCTTTGGTGAATGACTGGTTCGAAAGTAGAGCAGTCTAATTAATTGACTTGGTTTCAACTATTTTTGGAATGTTGAACCCTTACAGTGCGCCGGAGATCCCTTTCCTTGCTCTTTATTCTTCCGAGGCTAAAGGACGTTTCATTTTTTCGATCGCACGTTTCTCGGAAACCTCTATTTCTTTCGTGTTCGGTTTTCTTTTATAAAACATCGGACGTGATCGAATTCCTCGATCACTTACCGATTCGAAAGCGAAGTAATTTAATTGACAATCTCCAACTATTTTTGGAATTTTATGTCTTTCAATTTAAACATCGCTATTATCTGATCGTTCAAATTATTTAATACGTTCAAAGGGAGAATACGACTATTATATATATATATATATATTTTTTTTTACAAAAGATATATTCTACCATGTAAGTTCATGACTACCTCCTCATAATCATTGGCTCGCGATTAGCCAAAAAGAAATTCATCTGATTAGCAGTAAGTTCTATGACGAAACCACCGATAAAAACTTCGATTCCTCTCATTATAATAGAACTCCATTTTTCCGAGAACTCGAAGTTCACCGACTCTTCGATCATTCACACACGATCAACTATATTAATTAACAATAAAACTCCATTTTGTCCGACTCTATCAGGAGTCGATCCACTTGTTCCAACGCGTGATCGAAATCAATCAAAATCCAACCAAGCAATTAAACAAAAACAAACGAATTCCTGTTCGTATATTGCAAAATACGCGAAACAAGTTTCCTCCATATTCCATATTCCGAATGGCCAAATCTATCGTTTTCCCACCGGTCGAAAGACGAGCACTTCCTAATTCTGTGGCGCAACAACAAGCGGCTTCTTACATACGCTCGATTTGCTTTCTCTCGACCGGCGGTCGACACGTGTATACGACGCGCATGTATATCCAACGATTCCGCTGATGCATGCATGTATATAAAACATGCCTAAGTTCGGTCCCCCGGCACAAGTGGGGTATGGAAGGACGTGGAAAAAAAGCTTATAGCCAGCAGCCGGTGGTGGCGGTAGGCCAGGGGAGAGAAAGTCACCCGGGGAAACCGTAGTCCTGCGTAAATTTGTGAGAATCTGCCGTGGAAGCGCGGTACGAGTTCAGACCGCGCGGATGGCCATATAAGGCGCGCGAACAAGCTCGCGCATCTCTCCCTGCTAGGTAGGTAGGTAGGTAAGTTGGTTCGTTGGTTGTTGTTTTCGCTGCTTAGGCTGGTTGGTAGGCTACCGTTGATTGATTGGTTAGTTGCACGTTTGATTGGCTCGCCGATATTATTACCGAGGCGTTATCCTACGATTTACAGGCTACGAATCGGTAACCGGCGATGCTCAATACCATCTTCTCGGGCTTGTTTTCTGCTTGTCGCCGCATCGCTCGTTAGGCATCGGGAATTGCATTCGGAATTGCGCCCGGAATTTACGATACAGATCGTACGTTATTCCGATACGACACAGTGTACGTATCGTTTTCGTTACGATACGTTGTAAAATTTTCTTTGATGAGTTAGGATTTGTCAGTTACAAATGAGAGATAAGGAGGAGGATGAGGAGGTTTCGATCGATTCTTTTCTTTTTTTTTTTTTTTTTTTTTTGATGTCGATTAATGTAGATCGAAAGAGTTCTAGTCGTTTGTAAGAACGAGGCGGGAGGCTTGTAACGATGATTCATAAATTCTAGTAGCAGGGCGATACGTTCCTGAGAAATTTAATGTATGCAAACAAAATTAAAATATGATTTATACAGGCTTCCATCATTTTCTTTTTTTCCCTTTCTTTTCAATTGAAATAAAGTTATCACGTAGCACGTAGTGATTGCGCTGGGTAATTGGCGGATGATTTGAAACTTGCATCTTATTCGCTACTTTCTGCGTCTGTAATATTATTGTACACATTACTATAAATAGATAAATACAATTAACAATTATTTTATATGACGCGTAAACAGAAGAAATAGAAAATAATTTTCTCTTCGATCGAATGGATGGCACTTTTCATATTGACAAATTTCGTTTCACTGTTCCAGGAAGACGGCACTTCACCCAGGTCGGACGTGTGCGCGAATGAAAGCGACGGAGACACCAGTGATGGCGATTCTCCCGTGTCGAAGGATCTCTCGAAAAATCACTCGGGTAAGTTTATACTATATCAAAAAAAAAAAAAAAAAAAAAAACAATCTCCTATACCCGTCAAACTCTTCTTGTCAAATAGATTTTCAGAAAGGGTTAAAGACAATTTGCACGAAACACGATATTACTACCATGATCAATCGTGGTTAAAATAAAAATTTTTTTATTAACGAAAGAACGATCGAGTAAAGTCGCGCGCCCGTTGCTTCCAAGTAATACGATAACTCGTCGATGATTCCCAATGCCGTCACGGTTTCCTCCCTTTCAAACTGGTCGTGCTAGGACAATTTCACCTGTCCGTCCGCGACGATTCTCGTCCCGTATCCGATCGCTATGCGAAAGACAATCGTACAGCTGCGCATACGTGGCCGAGTAATTAACGAATTTCCCCGTGGGCGTAGCAAAGGAGTCGCGATCGCGCGGACTAAGTAGCAACCGGTAAAAGCCGTGGCGTGGAAAATCGTTAGAGAGACCGTAGAGGCAGTTTCGAGGCAGAGGTAAACGCGCAATCCAATCAGTCAGGTAGGTCGGCATAACAGAGAAGGGGATATATATATATATATATATATATATATACATATATAGATAGAGAAAGAGAGCGAGTAGGAGAAGTAGCGTGTGTATGGGGGGAGGAGAGGAGAGAAACGGTTGAAGTGAACGAGAGAATGGTATCAGAGAGGTAAACCGTGTGGTATATATGATGCGTACGAGCGCGTGCGAGCGAGCGAGAGCGCGGGGGAGGAGGGGGGGATTGAGGGAAGGGAAAGAGAGGGAGAAGATAAAGGAAAGAGGACACTTAAAATGCGAAAAGTGTGCGAGCGATGACGAGGTTATCCGTGTAGGGGAGTACATAAGGAGTTGTACGGGCCGCGATGACCAAACTAAGACAACGACGCGCTGCCTAACTGGGAAGTAAGATCCGGTCGAAAGCCGCGCTTCGATGCAGGTGTACACATAAATATCGATGCTAATATATGGAGTGGATGCCATCCGACTTACCGATCGCCAGCATGACGTATGTTTTTTTTTTTTTTTTTTTCCTTCTTTTTCTTTTCGCCTTCCCATTGTTCCCCGCCCGACATCCCCCCCGCCCGGAATTTTGATAACCCGCCGCCACGCGTTGATATCTCCGCCTCGCCGACCGATCTTTTACCCCCTCGATGATCGAGTTTCGATCGATTCCTCTTGAGAGTTCTTTGTTTTTTTTTTTTCTTTGCTTCTCTTCTGGCAGCTTCTTCGAAAGAAATTTTTCTTCCATTGGCCGATTTCTTTTTGTTTCCCCCTGTCGACAAGACAATTGTTTGGTTAATTGGGAAAAAAGTAACGATTTCAAGAGATTCGTAAGAAAGATACTTACCTTTAGGTTTGGAAAAGTTTCTCTATTATTTCTATCTTTGTTTTATATTAAATGTTGGTTTATTCCGTCTTTCGTGTCGTGTCGATCGCGTAAATGTATATTTTTAGCGATGGTTTCCTCCTACGGATCGATTTAAGTAGTGAAAGAAACCCAAAAAGCAGACGGCCATGCCCGATGAATCCGACGTACCATCTAACTTCAATTTCCTTTTATTTTAAAAGGAAATATATATATATATATGTATGATCTCAAAATTAATAACATGATTCTTTTTGTAACCACTTTAACTTTTTAATAATACAAGTATAAAAATCATGCACAATAAATCTAGAAAAATTCGATAATCCAAGAAAAACAATCGTGATTCTGTGTAGGTATAATGTACCAGATGCCACAGACAGTGATTTACTCGCCAAGTCCAGGGGTTCTACTCGGTATCGGTCAAAATGGCCAGCCGGTGCAAATATCTCAAGAAGGAGGTGAGAAACCATGATCATCCCCTGGAATCGCACTCTCTCTCTTTCTCTCTCTCTCTCTTTCTCCCCTCAAAAAAATAACAATAATAATAATAATAATAAAACACATATCTTCAAGCCATCCTTACGATAGCCGAACGAAATCCAGATGGAAACCGACAAAACCGACCCCGTTCTCGAGGGTGGTTGCGCTCGTTCGACGAGACGTTCCCCGAAAAGACGTGCCCTGTCCTCTTTTCCTCTTTTCCGAGGTTTTTTGGCATTGTTTCACAGGCACGGTAGCCCCGGTTAACACGGCGCAGAGTAATCAACAGCCGTTCATCACGATACCGTTGAACGTCGCGATGAGCGCCGCCGGATTGTCGCTTCCGGTCACTTCCAGGATGAATCTATCGCCGTCGCCTCGATCACCGACGACCACGACAACGGCAACTGCGTCGTCCAACTGCGAGCTGCCATCGGATCTGAGCAAAGATCGTGAGTGATATATCGTGGATCGAGCCTCGATTAAGAAAAACCCTCCTCGATACCTGTTGCTCGCCGACGCAACTAAAAGGCTTGACCCGACGAGATTGGACGGGCCATCTTTTTTCCAATCCATCGTTTCGCTTCACCGAAGCGAGGACGTGTATTGTGTGAGAGAACTCGAAAATCTTGAATCGTGCTCTCGAGAGATGCACGTTTCGGTTCTCGATTCGGATCGATCGATCCGACGATCGAGGCCGCGGTCGAAGAAGCGTTCGCGTTCACACAAGGAGATCACACGATGCTCGACGAATGTTCGACCTGCATGTGGTTGGTATATGGTGATTGGTATATGGTGGTTGGTATATGCTGGAATTATGGCTGCCAAATTCGATGCTCAACAAAGGATGGCAAACGAGCCCATCGAACTTTTGATACGAACGTTGTTGCGTTTAAATTAAAAACTTGAGGCGAGGGTTTATATACAATATTTCATATTGCTTAGAATTTCTTTCTGGGTGTGAACCGTGTCCAACGGGAATTTTATTAGCACTGTAGCTTATTTCTTCGCGGATCATTGCGTGTCATTTGACCCCTCGAAGAAGTTATTTATCATGTTGGCGAAAAATTTCTATTGGACACGATTGTTATGCATTCTGTGGATATAATTACATGAGTTAATGTTTTTTTTTTTTTTTTTTTTTTAGTGAGATAATAAATAAATAATTTGATCTTTGATCAGATACGCATGAATTAATTTGTTGTCATTTTAAAAAAAAATAAAAATTTTATTTACGGTAATATTGTGATAATATTGTTCAACTTTGTGTGTGAAAATGCAAATATTTAAATTTAAAAAATAGAAATCTAAAAGCGTTGATTTATATTAAATAAAAATATTGATAAAACGTTAATTAAACAAGTCTTGCTATCAGTTTAGAAATTTATTGATACAAAATGAATCTTGAAATTGCCTTTTCAATACTTTTTGTATTTTCAGAAAAAAATGACTCTTGTATAAAATTATATACAAAAATTGAAACTTTTATATCATTTATCTTCTTTATATATATTTATCATATTCATTGTTTCAACGCTTTTGCAACCATGAATTTTTTGCAATATTACCGATATTCTTATTGCTAATATTTGTTTATTATCGTACGATTTTATTAAAAAATCGCGAATTTTATCGACATCCTCTTTTGCACTCGCGATAACCGACGGCAATACGTTTCGACGCGAAGAAGCTTGCCATCATTCTTCAGATCTTTGATGATGTTGAAGGATATTATAACGAAAATTAAAAAACAATCTTTATTTTCTTCTAGAGAAGAATATAATATTTACATGAATATTATCCGTAGATAATCGTATCTAATAAGATCAGAAGAATTGTGATCGTATTCATGATTAAAATTGCTCATTTTTATTATGAGTTTCTTATTTTTTTAAAAGTTATCAATTGTATATCAGAAAATCATAGAAAAATACTGCTATTAATCGAGTGCAAAGGTGGGAATTTTGTGGATTTTTTCCTACGTACGATTTTATATCTATGATATAAATTAAAATTAATTCGAGATAGGTTGTGGTATGAAATAATAATCAATGTGAATTGATATATATATTTTTCATTAATGCTGGGCTTCGTTTGGCCGGCATTTAATCGATACTGGTGCAATACTAGTCGAACGTTCTGTCCGATAATTGTTCCACGAAATAACTGTTTGTACTTTCCTCAGTAGAATTCACCCTTTTTCGAGATATTCAATGTTTCGTTAATTGTTAATAAGGAGATTCGTGAAAGGGATCGATATTTTTTCAACGTTAAACGTATACATAAAATGTAGAGTCGTTTAGAGATTGGCGAATGAGTCGTATTATGAGCGCACAATTGTTAAATTGAACGATAGTAATATGAAAATAAATTAAAGCAATGATAAAAGATCGAAAAATTTTTGCGGTGATATATTTTATATGCGCATCAACGATCCGAATTTTGTATTCTTCGAAATGTATTGAACAATTCGATACATGATCATCGTTATGAACTCCAGTTTCGATCATAAAAAAATCATTTGATACAAATTTCTCAGAGATAAAATCTCACGATTACAAACAAAAGAACAATAAATTTGAATAAAAGAGATAATTGATATTAACAAATTGGTGAAGAAATTCTTTTCGATAACATAATAAATATTTATTACTATAAAAAAATATCTATTTTTTTAAAAAAAAAGAATTGGAAAAATGACTTGAAAACAAGAAATACGTTACGTATATATTATAAAAATAAGCATATCATTATTTTATTCAGAAACTGGAATTCTAAAACGAAATTACTTGTAGAATGATCTAATGATGGATCGTTATGAAACGGTTATGGAATTCATTGTTCGATTGCGACAATTTGTTCACTATGTTTATCCTAAAAAAACGAAAGTTCAAATTGTTCGATAATTGTTTATAAAATATGAAAGGTAGAAAAGGTATCGAAGATCGACGATTCGTGGGACGACGATGACTTCTCAATCGTACAGGGTGCTTTTAAAATATAATCTATAAGCTGGCGTTATCGTTTTTTTGGACTCTATAGGGGAGAAAAACTATTAGATATATTTTTTAACACGAAAGTGCGATTAACTAATTGGTTTATTCCGATTGCACGTTAAATTTGACCGAAAATGTTTTATTTATTAACTTTTATTCGGATAATAAAGAATAATAACAATGTGTTCGTGGTGATACTGCAAATTATATAGAAATTTCTTGAATTCTTTGTAATTATATATACAATGTAGACATGGTAATAATAATAGCTACTCACATATTTCGAAATCGATATAATCGGATAATTAACAAAATTGTTCAATTGGTCAGTGATAATGTTGGCAATCGTAATTGTTTGTTTATACGATTATGATGATTAATAATTAACCGTAAATTAGTAATAAGCACGCATTATTATCAGCCAGGTTGATTTAACAGTATTTTTAATCACAATCTCTATTTTACACGATATGGAAATAAATTATCAGCTTGTGATAGATAAATCGGGAAGAATTTGTATTTTTTTACAATATACCTACGAATACGATTTTTTAGTGCGGACAGTACTATCGAAACGTGAGAAACATCATCTATATTGCCATAGGAATTTTTTCTTCTCTTTTAAACAATTGTATGTAATAGCTTGTATATTTTTTTTCAAAGATTTATTTTATGTGTTAATAAATTTTACTTATATTTTTTTTTTTTTTTGGATAAAAATAAAATAAAATAAAGTACCTGTTTCTTGAAGAATATTTGAAAAAAGAAAAAAATAATTCATATGAAAACAAATTAAACAAAATGCACTTTTTTAAAATATATCGAGTTTCTTACGTACACTATTTGATAGTGCCTTCCTATATAATTCAAGAACGTAGAAAAAATTCAAGGAACCTTAGTATTAGATTTATAAATATTAATATCGTCAAAATAAATTTTTCGAAGTTAATATTAATGTATTTACGAGTTTCTTTAACTTTTTTTTATTAGCGCTGGTTCCTATAGTGCTAGTCAAAAAATTGTACCTAGTCAGTGAAATATGCAATGAAACAAGCATTTAATTTCTATATCGTAACATTGTTCAAAACAGATAAAAAAAATCATTAAATTGAAATTTTAAATAAACAATAAATATTAAATTAATTAATAAAGTAATACAAATTTAAAGAATTTAAAAGTTTAAAAATTTTATTTCTAATTAAAAATAATTTTATATTATAAATAAAATATTTTTATATTTTTTAATTGTTTGAATTTATTTTAAAAATTGTTTTGAGCAATGAACATATTGTATGGACTATTGTATGTAAGAAACTTATATACAATATGGACGATAGTACGATCCGAGGAATGATGTGAAAAATTCTTATGTCAAAATCCATACATATTTTATTCAAAAACAAATATCGTTAATTTATATCATGCATTTAAAATAAATTTTTTGGAAATATTATATATTTTATCTTGTATTTTTCTAAATTTTTTAACATTGACCTAGTCAAACAAATTATGTAATAAATAGTCAGACATTTCTTTTCTTATTGATTATTAAAATAATTTTAAAAGTAGTGTAAGTTTGATTTCGTTTTATTTTATACCTTTCTTCAAAAAATTTATTTATTTATTATATAATATAAATTTATTAATAAAAAAGATATAATATATAATTATAAATTAAAAAAATCATTGATTCTAAAAAAAGATATAAAAAAATACAAAATATTCTGATTATTTAAAAAAGTTTGATCTTATTATAAATAAATATCATGTCAAATTTATTAGATGGTATATAATAACAAAATAATAGATGCAGTTTAATCGATGAAAGATTGATTCTGTCATTTTGTGAGAATCAACCAAACATTCTTTTTCAACTTTGTTCATATTTCTTTTTATATTTAAAAATGATTCATATATCATTTCAAAATGGAAATGACATGATAGAAATTACAACCTTCATGCTTCCACGTGCAATAATTGCATCAATAAATCTCATAAACAATTTTCTTCTATAATAAAAAATATTTATGCTAAAATATCGAAAATTAAAGAAATTCTCTGAAGACATAAATATATAATATAAAAGATATATATTGATATATTTAAATGCGGATGATATTGAATTTAACTAAGAAAATTCAAATAAAGAAGAAAGAAAAAAGACTAAATAAAAATCAAACAATAAATTTGCATTTGTATGCAAACAATAGCACAAATGTGTACTTTTTATCACACCATATAATATATTTTAAGATAATTATAATTCATAAAATGCAAGGTCTTAAAATTGAAGTAATTTTATGATCAAGTATGAAAATAATATTCATTATAATTAAAATATAATGAATTAAATCATTAAAACAAATATATTAAAATAATAATGAAATAAAATAATCTGAACGTTATGACTCAAATATGTGTACATATAATTATAGTGAAACTTTATCGAAATGCCAAAGAAAATAGACTAATATATGAAAAAAAGAACATGAGAAATGCGTTTTAAAAATTATTTGATTCGCTTTCTAAACAAAATTTCGTTTTTCTATATTATCTATATTTAACAAGTGTTTTTCACATTGTTTAATGTTTATAATTTCTTTATATTCAATGCAGTACAATAAAATTATATGATATTATATGATAAATTATATGATAAGGAATTATTGAATATTATTGGAAATTTCATGTTTTGAATGTAAAAATAATTAATTTTCAAAAAAAAAAAGAAGAAAAAATAACACGCAAATAATTGCTTGTAAATATCATTTATAATTAAAATTATATATTAAATTTTTATATATAGCATATTTTAAAAAAAAAATTAAATTTAAAAAATTTTTTTATATAATACATTTAAACAATTTTTAAAAAATATTATATTATTGCAAAGATTGAAATTAGCGGAATTGAAATAATAGAATTATTAATATAAAATTAATTAATAAAAAAATTTGCAACATTTAGAGATAAAAATTTATAAAAATTTATAAAAATTTATAAAAAATATAAATCGAAATATCTTCAAATAAATTTTAATATCTTTTTTAATATTTTTCTATTGTAATATTATACAGAACAAAAAGAATGTTTATAATGAATGAATATATATAAACATATCATTGTTTTTTACTAAGTTTACATAATATATCAATTATATGATATTGTTTAAAATTGTTATAAAGTATGCGTTACATATAAAGAAATAAAAAATATAATTATTCAAATTATAATCTTATATATATAATAAATTTCATATATCAATTATAAATAAAAAATTTTTATTCCTTATTTTTTTTTGTTTTTATTTTTTCTTTAAAATTAATTAATTCTTAAATAATTGATGCAAATTTATTAAATATATTTACTTAATTTCATTATAAAATGATTATTTATCTATTACTAATATTAATCAAAATATAAATTGATATAAAAAATAAAATATAAAAAAATTGTAGTATTATTTTTTTCAATTATTGAATATTAATTCAAAATATAAGTTTAAATTTATCATGTTATTCTTATATTGTATTATCTTATTATGTACCATAGCTATAATTGGAACATATTAAGATAAGTATAATTCTTTATATTTAATAAAAAATGCAATTTACCTGTTATAAGCAAATTCTTCTAAAAAATCTTCAAGGATGTTGATTTAATAATAAATTTTTTTTGCAACTTTATCAAATAAAACTTTGGAAGATTTTAGAACATTTTAAATAATATCTGAAATATAAAAATTGTTATATAAATATTATTCATAATAGTTAAAAATTTAAAAATTTATATTTGAAAATCGAATCGATATTTCAATTTGATATAAAAATATAAAGCATTTTTTTTAACAATGTTGGTAGCAAGTAAGTAAGATGTAATGTACCGTCATGGCGACGTTACCGCCACGGAAAAATCCAACTCCAACGAAAATTTTAAAACAACATTTAACACCATTACAAACACTCTTACAATTAGGTTTTCCAAAACATCGAGCGTAAGTATTATACAACAATTATAAAAGATTGTCAATATCTTTTTATTATTCTATAAACAATTATAAACGATTATAATGCATTCAGTGTAAACAAACAGCTGTCAAATATTAAGTATCACTATTGTTTTCTTTCTATGTTTGTTCTACTGTGATTGTTTATATTTATTATTGTAATTAATATATTATATATTTTTTTATCATTATTTTTTTAATAAATAAAAAAATATAATTTTATAAAAATTTTGTATAATTATTATATAAAATATAATTAAAAATATTTTACTAACTATAAGTCATAACAATTCAAATAGATATTGTATTGTTTATAGAGAGAAAGCATTAGCTGCTACAGGGCATCGAGGTGTTCAACTTGCATCTGATTGGCTAGTAGCTCATGTTAGAGATCCAACTTTGGATACTTATACTCATAGACAATATATTTTATATGCTTGTCCTACGGGTGAACTAGCTGAACAGTTAATGAGATTTTGGTCTGAAAGTAAAGAACTTATAAGGAATGGAGCTCATAATTATATGCCACATATTACACTTGTGTCATTTTTTAGAGTATGAAATTATCTTAATAATATGATATAAATAAAAATCACTAAATAATACAAATATATTATTTATAGGCACCAGATGAATCTACTGAAGAGTTGGTAAATACTCTTGAAAATGTAATTAACCAAAATGAGTTATCAGATAATATTGAATTAGAAACATATATTTCTCCTAATTTTATGGGTTTATTTGTTAAAAAAGCAAATGTAGAATGGCTGAAAAATGTTGCTATTCATTATGTAAACAAACTTTCAAGTTTGGGAATTTCTGCAGAACCTCAAGTAAAATCTTTACATTTGACACTAGCTTATCAGTTTCCTAGCAATTTATATCAACAATTGCGTTTAATGGTAGAAAAATTAATACTTACTTGTCCAACTAATTGGGAACTAAGATTATATTCTAGAGATCCTAGATTACAAAACATACATGTACATAAAGTAACACATGCTCATATGCCTAGAGAACATGATGAATTAGAATTAAGAGTAGGAGATTACATTTATATTCCAGAAGGGGCATGTAGTGCATCTACAGATGGTTGGGTCGAAGGTATCTCTTGGTTAACTGGTATTTCAGGCCATTTACCTTTAAATCATACAAAACGTACAGCTGAATCAGATTCATGGACTTTACACACTACTATACAAATTACTGACAATAAAAGTGAAATTTTAGAAAAAGAAGAAATACCTCTAACTCGTAAACCACCAGAATTATTATCAAGTGATTCTGTAGACAGCCCTGATGGAGTAGCAACAACTAATGAACCAGTAAATTATATTAATTATTTATTATTTATTCATGTATAAAAATTCCAATTTTAATCTTTTATCTACATATGTAGATAGAGGCTTCTGAAGCACCTTCAAGTTTCTCAAGACAAATTTTTATATGCCGCCATGGAGAAAGAGTAGATTTTACATTTGGAGCATGGATTCGTTACTGTTTTGAACCAAATGGATCTTATGTTCGTAGAGATTTAAATATGCCAAAAGAAATACCATCAAGAAATATACAAGATTTTCGAAATGATAGCCCTTTGACAACTGTAGGTGAAATGCAAGCAAGTTTAGTAGGAGAAGCTATGAAATCATCTAGTATTAAAATTGATGTGGTTTTCACATCTCCATCATTAAGATGTATACAAACATTGGCTCATATCTTAAAAGGATTAGACTTGAATATTCCAATGAAAATAGAGCCAGGTCTTATAGAATGGTTAGCATGGTATCCAAATGGTGTTCCAGTTTGGATGACATCTGAAGAACTAACAAAAGCAGGTTTTAACATAGATAAAAATTATGATCCAATTATTAAAGCAAAAGAACTTCCATTAAAGGAAAATGCAGCTCAGTATTATGAACGAAGTTACGAATTAATCAAACGAATTATTGAAAATACTGTAGGAAATATTTTAATAGTAGCTCATGCTGCTTCTTTAGCAGCTTGTACTAGGCAATTAACAGGTGGAAGAGTTCCACCAGCTTCAGAAGTTACAAGATTAGCACAGAGAGTACCATATTTAGCATGTCTAACAGCACGTGAAGAATTGGATGGTTGGCAACTTCATCCACCTCCATTTCCACCTATAACCCATACCAGTAATACTAGATTTGATTGGAAAGTATTATTGTAAAAAATAATTAATATTTTAAATACAGTTTTTTTCTCTTTTTATCTTTTGTTATACAAAAGCTGCTTAAACATAAAAGACTGTAAAAATACAATGAATTTTTTTGTAACATTTAATTTATACAAAATAGATTAAAAAGAGAGAAAATGTATTAAAAAATTATATATTCTGGGTTGGGTTATTTATAATATAATAAAATATGCCAGTTAACTATTCAATAATTACAAAAATTAATACTTATAAGGCAATAAATACGGGTATTGACATTTAATTCTACCTTCTTTATAAAGAATTTAGAATATGTGTCTCAAAAAAAAAATTTGAATTGATATTTTAAAAAAAGATATATTCTTTCATAGATTTCGTACTGAATGTTTAGAAAGTTTTTAGTAATATGATATTATGATATTATGATAGGATTTATAACATTTGATAGAAAAATATTAATAATACATTCAAAGTCTTAGAGAATGTATTTAAAAAATCATGACATTAAAAAATTTGATATATTATAATTTTTTTTTATCTTTAATTGTAAAAATTCAAAAAATTATTAATCTATTATTTATTCAACTTTTTAAATTTATTTTTGCATATTATGTATACATTATGTATACATAAATAATGAAAAAATATGAAATCAAATCTAATATTTTTTACAAAATATATGAATGCACATATAATTTAGATTTAAAATATATTTAAAATATATTATTTTTATGTTTAATAATTTAATTCATTGTTACAAAAAATCTATTTAAGTGGAAATTATGAAAATCAGTAAATAACAAAATTTTTTCATACATTGTATAAACCTATGAAATAATAGTTGGCATAAATAATGTATGGAGATATAGAAGTACAAAATCAATGTAGGAAAATGTTATTTACCAAAGAAATATATAAAATGTTATTTCATTACAAATATCAGTTATGTCATGAAGGAATCTACTATTTTATTTACTATAGAAAAAAATTTATTAAAGTATAATATATAGTATACCTCATAATGTTTAAAAAATTTTTTTATATAAAATAAAATTTAGTAAAAAATATAATAAATGTATTATAAAATGTTTATACTTTTCTATAACAATATTAATAATTATACATGTCCACTTTCCTTTAGTTTTGCAATTAATGTATCAACATCTGGTACAATAGTTCCGGCTTGTCTAACTGGTGGTTCTTCAACTGATAAAATTTCAATTCTTGCTGTAGTATCTACACCAAGATCTTTTGCTGTTACTTTTTTAATTGGTTTTTTCTTAGCTTTCATAATATTTGGCAATGTAGCATATCGTGGTTCATTAAGTCGTAGATCAGCACTTAAAACTGTTGGCATTTTTATTTTAACAACCTCTAAACCTCCATCAACTTCACGTGTAACAGTTAGATCATCATTATTTTTTTCAATCTATCACAAAAAAATATAGAATATACATTGTAATAAATAGTTTTTAATATTGCTTAAAATATATTTTTAAATAATATTATTTAATATTGTAACTTACTTTACTACAAAATGTTCCAGTTGGCCAATCTAAAATACCTCCAATCATTTGTGCAGTTTGATTACTATCATCATCTATAGCTTGTTTTCCAACAATAATTAAATCTGCTTTCTCTTCTTGAGCTAATTTGGCCAAAAGTTTAGAAACATGAATAGGTTGCAAAGTTTCATATTCAGGTCCAGATATTTCAACATGAATTCCTTTATCAGCACCCATTGCAAGGGCAGTTCTTATTACATCTTGACATTTTGGAGGTCCACATGAAACTGCAATTATTTCTTGTACTAATTTCTTTTCTTTCATTCGTATAGCTTCTTCAATTGCAATTTCATCAAAAGGATTCATTGCATGTTTTACTCCATCTGTTACAACACCTGTTTTATCTGATTTAACACGAATCTAAAATATAAAGTAAAATAAAATAATATTATAAAATGTAAATGAAAAATATTATTTAAAATTATTTCAATCTAGAATATACTTATTTTTTATCGTGATAATTAATATATTACGTAATAATTAGATTTTTATTTTAACTTATTATGATTAAAATTATATTTTTTAACATATATTATTATTAAATTTTATATTATACTTATATTATTAATTACCTTAACTGCATAATCGATAACTCTTTTTACACCTACAAGTGCTCGTGCCATTGTTAATTAACAAACAGATCGATAAATTATACGAAATAAAAGTATATAATTATCTTTTCATAATATCTGTTGAAATATTTACAGAACTATACAATCTTTTTTATATATAGTCGAACTACTATTTGATTGGTCTGTTTGATATTTTGATTATTTAGTAAATCTAAATAGTCTAAAGTTCATTTATACTTTGATATGTGTTGATTTTATGGACTTATTTTCATGCACTTCATGCTGATTTTATAGACATATTTTCATACAATTTTATACAGTATTGATGTATATAACTAAACTATAATATCATAATTGTTTCAAACAAAACTCTAATCACAGTAAAATAATTCCAAAATTATTTGAAAGATAAGAGAATAAAAATAATTTTTATCGTAATGATGTAAAACTTGTAATAAATATGTTTTACTTTTATGATATAATTTCTTTCTTTCCATATTTATTATAATTTATTTATAAAATAAATAAGATAACAAAATTTATAATTATATTTTTATATTAGTAAAGATATATTTTTATTTTAATTGGATTTACAAATAATTTATAACAATATTTTATTATTTTTTTATTTTAGTATATTATAAATTAAGGCCATTTTCAATCTTGCGACATGAAAATGAAAGACATATAATATGTAAAGAATAATGAAATGAATCATATATTTTATAGCAATTACTGTTATTTGAATTTCTTTTGAATCTCTTTTGAATTACTTATTTATTGAAAAAAAATATAAATAGAAATTATTATATATTTTTTACAATCTTATTAATTTCAAAATGATAATTCTAATAATTATTAATTATTCTAAAAATTATATTGTATTATTTATTTATTTAAAAAAATTTAAAACATTTTTTTTTAAAATATTTCAAATTATTACGAATGAAATATATATATTAATTAATATGCTATATATATTAATTAATTTAATTTATTAATATTTTATAATAATTTATTAATTTATTAATATTATAAATAATATTAATTTATTATTATAATTCTCTACAAAAATATTATAATTTAAAACATTAATTAAGAAATAATGCTTAATATATTTTAGTTTCTTTAGAATAATATGTAAAGTATATAGAATAAAAAAATTATTATTAAAAGATTTGAATATTCATATATGATTTAATACATTAAAAAGCTATACAATAAATTTTAAATTATGAATTGTTTTTAATTTAAATATAATTATTATTATTATTTATAATAAATCAAAAAAGAAAATGAATTTTTATAATTTTTTACTTTTTCAAAATATAAAATTAATATTACTAAATACACTATTTTTAGAATCGAAAAAATTTTTATTAAGAATCTATTCCAACAAATGAATCTTTTTAAATATATAAAAATACTTATATATAATTAATATTCTAATGAAATTAGAATAATAGAGATTTTAAACAATCATTATGGAACCAATCAGAATGAATATGAAATCAAGTTTGCGCCACACATGGCGTCCAAGAACCGACGCCATCTAACGTCTGGCATTCCTGTTTTTTTCGTGCGGGTAAAATCACGGCTTTCTATAGCGCGTAAGTCTTTATCGTTTTGTTTTGTAGAATTCGGTAAGTTAAGTAGATATCTTTGATAAATCTACTATGCTATGCGTATACCGAATGAAATGTTAGCTGAGAAAAAACATTCACGCGGTAAAGAAAGTATGTGGGAAAATGAGTTAACCGTGTGTTAACGCGCAGTGGTCAACTATCCGTGCAAGTTTAGCAAAGGAATATATATCCATATTCAAGACGTAATAACGTCAAGGTAATTATATGTTAATCCTTATAATTGGAAATATTATGTTATTTCTCTAAATATTTATAAAATTTAATTCTAACGAAAATTTCCTTCGTGTTTATGTTTACTCCTCTAATTACCCCCTCCCTCTTTAGCCACCTTCTATTCCTTAATTCTTTTTGAGATTCTCCCTCGTTTTCTTTATATTTTATACATATTTTCTTTACAATATTTTCTTTTTATAATTTTGTTTTTTATATTATTGTCATATAAATTTGCTTAATTTTATCTATCTGTTATTGCATTGCTTTCAATAACCAAACTATGAAAAGAAAAGCATTGTTTGTATTGTTAAAATATGAGCATTATTTTAAGTTATTTTAAGTTATGTTTGATATTCTTTAATATTTTGATGAATAATATTAGCATATTATTAAATAAAAGATCATTATAAAGCAATAATTTTTCAAAAGTTATTTGCATGTATATGTTTATTTATATCTTAATATATTTATATTTTAAATATATATTTATATATAGTCGATTTTATTAAATTGATATTGATTTTTTATAAGTATTTAGAAAAACATATTTAATCAGTGAAAAATGAGTGCGTCGGCCTTAAAATCAACAATACCTGGAGTAGGTACTTCCCCATCTTCTACAAGTCATTCTATTCTTCCAATGAATGCAATGGCACAAAAAGTTGTATCAGGATCAGAACCAGCATCTATGAAGCCTTTACCAGGAACTGGATTAAGCTATGTTACATTACAACCACCTAATCATCCATCAAGTCAACCTTTAAGCTTAGTACAAGATCATAGACCTTCTGTATATCAAACACCACCTTATGTAAGCAGTAATTCTGAAAAGGAAGACTTGGATAAATTAATCCCTAATGGAGTAGAGATTATGAAAACTGAAACAGAACAAAATATATCTGTTTCCATAAAACAAAATGAATCTAACAGAAATAATAATTTAAGTCCAGATAATCCTACACAAGATTCACAAAGAGAAGTTCAAACAGATCAAGAGATGACATCTATTAATTTAGATTTCCCTGGTTAGTAATAAAATTTTATTAATTAAATTATTAATTTAACTAATTTCATATCAAATATTTGATTAAATGCACATTTTATATAATTCATATTTTATTATTTTACAAATATTTTTATATATATCAATAAATATAATAATTATTTATTAATTATTTATTTATTTATACTTAAGACATGTTGAATTCATTAACATTATATTGCATGTAAATACAAAACATAAGATATATTTATATAACTATGAGTGTATAAATGTTACTTTAGCATTATGTCCACAATTACAAAACAAAGTTGAAGAAAAAAAGACTCCTGTAAATAATGGTTCAAAAGAATCTGATGGAATTCCAATTAATACAACTTCACAAACAAAATTATCATCACATAAATCAGAAGATGGGTCAGTAAAATCTGATAGTCAGAAGTCAAAAACCATAACTCAAAACACAAAACTTATAGCAGATAGTTCTGCATTATCACAAACAAGTAATCCACCAAAAATTGAAACAAAGGTCACTGGTTCACCAAAAGCAAATAAGAGAAAATCTAGAGAATTGAAAGATTTAAAAGGAATATCAGCAACATCAGATGGAGCAAGTAAACCAAAAAGAAATCGAATTCAAACACAACCTTATCAGAGTCCATTACCAGAAATTGCATTGCTTGTAAAAAATTTAAATAAACCACCACCATCAAAAGCTTCTGATGATAAACTTATAGTATTCTATAAGTAAGTATGATTCATATATTTTAAACATGCATAATATAATATAATGATGAATAATAATAAAAAGTTTGGATTCTTTATTAAATTTTTATTTATGAATAAATAAGTTATTTTACATTGACTTTTATTATAAATATAAAAAAATTAATAATCCTATTATATACATTAACTTTTATTGATATTCATTATTAGAAACGAATTTTTGGCTGTGAGAAATGCAGAAGGAAGTTTCTATGTATGTCAAGCAATGCAAAATATATATAAATCTAGCAGAAAAATTCGTATACGTTGGCTTTCTCAAGACAAAAACAATGGAGAAATATATTCACCAGATTTTTACGATTATATAGGTAATCTCATGAAAATTGTAATTATAAATATAATTAATAAATTTTGAATAACTTGATTTATATTATATGATAAATAATATATATTTATTTTAAATAATGTAAATCTATTATTTTTTTTTTTTTTAAATTTCAGATTTTGATTGCATCTTAACAAATTTAAATTTAAACAAAATTGATAAAAATAAATTTCAATTAACAAAGATAGAATTATTACGTACAGAAAATATTTTAAAAAGAGCAATTGATGTTGAAGCTGGTGTATCTGAAAAACCTCGAGTAACAGAAGAACATCCGGATGGACGTTAGTATTTTTATATACTATTTATTATTGTGTTCTACTAATATCGAATTTTTATTTTATTTTAATTTTTTAATATAATTCAATAATGTTTAATTTATTATATTATTTTCTATATCAAATTTAATTAAATTATTAATATAAAAGATATACTTGTTTATTATTTATATTATTAAAATTTTATAAAAATATTTTATGAAATTGAAATTTTAATGTCTTATCCACAGTTGATCTTTCACTTTATAAAGATGAATCACAATTAAAAAGAAGAAAAAGTCATAATTTACATAAACAAAAACAAAGTTTACGTAAGAAAGCAAAACGAACTGAAAGCTTCTCTGAAGATGACACTCCTGAAGATGAATCGGGAAAAAAATCACCTAAATCGAATCGTTCTAAAAAACGAACAGTTAATAAAGCTTTAGCAATTGCAAAGTCTGTTGCAAAAGGATCTAGTAGAGCAGAAAGAGCATTAAATAGAAATACAAAATCTGGAAGTGAAACTACTGCTGCTACTAATAGTACTACTACTACAGTTACTACATCTACCACATCAATAGATGTAACTAAAAATAATACAGATATTAAAAGAAATGAAAATAAAAAGAGCACAAAGCAACAGAATAATAACACAAGTGGAGTATCAAGGACAAAACTACGTGGTAAGAAATTTTTCTTAGTATGATTTTAACATATTAATTCATTAAGAAAGATATTGCTCTTTAATCATCTTCAAAATTATTTAAATCATAATGTGCATCATCAAAATATTCATCTTTTTTTTTAATTTTGTAATTTATAATAGTATAATTTTTCTTAAAAATATTATAATTTCTTAAAAATATCTAATTTTTAGCATCTGCACAAAATGCACAACAAAGTAATAAAACAGCAGGTCGTCCAAAGCGTATGGCTGCAGCTACAGGTATTGTATCGACCGAAGAAGCAATTCGAAAAAAGCCACGTGGACGAGCATAAGATTAACGTAATTTACCTGTATTTCCTGTATTACATCTAGAACAGAATCTGTATCGTAGGCAATATGTACATGTAGTACACTCTTTAAAAATTGCGATTGGTTTATAATGTAATATATATGATCTCAAGATTTATATCTTATCAGATGCTGCATTATATTATAGTCCAACAATGTGGGATCAACAATTTATATAACAATGCGGCAAATCGCATTTAATGAAAAAAAGACTCAAAGATTTATAAGAGTGATATTGTGATATCATATAAAATTTGTACATATCGTCTACGTTTCAGATTCTTACAGGAGAAGAAAGTCACGGAATGTGTATGGGAAATGGTACCTTGGTTGAATAATAACTATCTACAGGGTGTCACATGCTAATGCACTCTTGCAATAGTCTATTTTTGATGTTGTGAGTGAACTGTACGTGATTCAGTTGAGTTTAATGTACACTTTCCATTGGATATGATAGCTATGTACAAATATATATATTTGGGGCTTATAATGTACTCTATAAAAAGATAAAAACACAAAATAAAATAGAGTACCAGAGAATGAAAACAATCCGTGAGTTATCGATCTCCAAGTTATGGATCGGTAGATTTAGAAGTACAATACCTGTACATTACGCTGAATCTTTGCTATTTAAAAAATAGCATATGAAATGGTCCAGCGCCTTTATTAAAGACAGGCAGAGAAAAAAAGTGCCCTCAACTGTAAATCCTTGTCCTGTTGTTGAATCTATGGATTTATTAAAAAAAAACTTTATGGCTGGAGATGTAATGTTTTAACTATAGTTTATTTTTGAATCATTTATGTCAATGAATTGCTAATATAATTCATTGTTATAAAAAATAAAAAAGATCATATTAATTATGGTGGTATCAAATTATAATTTAGCCACTTAAACATATTATATTCCTTTCTTAAAAAAAAACAAACAAAATAGCACTTATTTACTCTGATAAGTCTGGATTAAAATGTATAAACTTGCTTTATCTATGTATTATTTTATTTTTTCAAAGATTATGGACAAAGTGTATATTTACTGAAAGATAGATGATTATGATTTACACTTCACCAAATCTAAATTCGTATATTTTAATGTAGTTTATAGTTTATATTTTGTGTCGAAATGTATTGGGAATACAAGTTTCGTGTCAATATTGAGAAAAGAAATTTATGTGAGATTCAATTTATTACAATGTATAATGAACAAAGGTATCGAGACATGTATTTGTTTTATGAATTACGATAATGTAATGATAATACATACCTTATATAATTATTTATCGTGAAGAAAAAAGTCTTTGATTTTTGGAAAGACAAAAGACGAATTATATTGATTAAAATTGTATACTTTTTTGTCATTGAAAATTCAGTTGCCAAAGTTGCATTTACTTATTTAATGCATTGGCCATTGAACATTGCACAAATTTAAATGAGAAAGTTATTTCACTTAAATAATTTTATCTATGTATGTACATATGAAAATTAGGTAATCAAAATTGTGAAAATATGCAAAACTATATGAGCGTTTGGAATTTTGAAGGCTAATGTATCTTATTCATTTAATAATGTATTCCAATTTATTGAGTTGCAATACAAATGATTGTACAACTTTTTACTTCTTATTTTAGAAATCATAGAATACATGTACGATGTACATATATTTCATAAGCTTAACAACGTTAAAGATAACTTAAGAATGCCGTTTAAATGATTAGGCATATCGACTTCTATTGAAAATAGAATATAATTATTATAATAAATGAATAAGGTGAATTTAATTCTTAAGATGGGAGATGAATAAGATACCAATCCTATCATTGGTCCATTGCATATTGTATTTAAAATATACACACACATAATGTATAAATTTAAAATATACACAAACGTAATGTATAAATTTAGTAAAGAAAAAAATTCTAATGAAGACCGAGAAATTTGCTTATCTTGTTACTCGATTTTGCTTTCAAAGCAATGTCACTCTTCTTGGAATTAGTTGTATAATATTGAAATAATTCAAAGGACGGTGCAAATAATTACAATTAAATATCATTATTAACGTCAATGAAAAATAATGTAATATATAATAAATTTTCAAGACAAGCTACACTTATTATTTCAAGAAGCGAAATCGATTACAATATGACGAATAAATACAGCTCTCGATATTTTCGTGAGCTATTTGCAAATTTAAAACAAAAATATAATATGAAGGAAACTGAATCGAAAAGCAATGATACATTTGCGTGCGGGCTGATATTTGTTGAGGATACTTAAAAAATATGTATTAAATTTGAAAAATCGAAGTTTAAACATAGATATAGGTAATTGACCACTAAAAGATCATCTTTCACTTTATATACGATAAAGTATATAAGATCATATTTGTCTGTATTAATTTGTTATATATGAAAAATGTTTATTCAAATAAGTCCCAAATTTTGTCATTATCATATAAAAAATTTAATTTTCTTCCTTGCAATTCTAAAGTAAAACTAGAAATCGTTGTTCGAAATTTAAGAGCTAAAGATACGTTTGCTACATAAAAGTATATGTAAAATTCAAAGTACAAATAGTTTGTCATGAAAGTATCAGATCTTTAGCTAAAAATTTGGTAAACACCGGTTTAAAGTATTACGTTAAATAAGATCTTAACTACCTCGTGATACGATTTATTTCTGCAATAATGTAAAAATTGTATCTCTAGTTTCAGATAAATAATTTAGAGGGACCTCATTTTATTTGCATTACAAATTATTTTCATATTTTATGCAAATTTTTAAAAATATATAAAATACTTGACATTATCATCTAAAATATCCTTCTAACTACTTAAAGATACAAAGTTTAAAAAATTTCATTTTTTTAAACAAATTTTGAAATTTTTAATATGAATTTTTAATAGTTATAATTATGTAATCTTAAATAAGAAGGATGTTTTTATTCAATGATATCAAGTGTACATTTTATATAATCAAAAAAAATAATTCTTAGTTTATCAATTGTTTTCAACTTTTGAATAATAATCCTCTGACAAAATCTATCCTAAAACATTGAACATGAAATCTATTATTGGCTCTCACTTGACTTCTAAGCACTATTTCAATGAATTTACAGCATATGTCCCTAATTAATCTGAATGTCACGATTGCATTCTAATTATGTAATAAATACATAAACTATATTACGCGTATCGCATTTAAATAGATATTTAAATGATTAAGTAAAGCGATCGTGTACGATTATTTCTAAGTATATGATTCTTATAAGAATGGATATTTATATATCAAAAAAGTACAGCCCACATGCGAAAATATCGGGCTATACTCGAAATGCGTTGCCAGAAGCTGCCTTTTTGCTTCGAGGTCGCATAATTTAATATCTATTAGGAAACATTCGTAAATAGTAAATTGACATTTAATATTTCGTGTAAACTTATTTTATATTTGTTATTTGAAAAGTGAATTTTTATTATACAAATTATGATAAATTTATTATTATACAAAGTATGATAAAAACAATTTTATTAGTTTAAAGTATTAATTTTTACAAAGATTAATTTTATATAAATTTATGTTATGTATATATGTATTTTCTACTTCAAATTTTTACCTATTTTTATAATTTAATTTTTTTTTTTTTTTTAATACCGACAATGAATGGGGATTTTAACAAGAGATTAAGTAAATTAAAAAATCAAATTTGATTTATATTTTTTCTTAATTAATGACATAATTTGTATAAGATACGATATGGCCTACTCAGTACCTAAAACACAAAAAATTATTTGACCAGGAGCAAAATGATAGAAAATAAAAATTATATGTATCAACAACGCGTTTCAAGAATATGGCTCGATTCTTTTGAGATTCATTTTTCTAAAAGTTATTCTATACAATTTATAATTATTTATTCTATACAATTTGCGATTATACTACTTAAAAACCATTTGCAAGAAGTTTCTGATATCTAATTGTATGACTAATTATAAAACATAATGAGGAACCCTCTACTTGTCATACCGTTTCCTTTTGTGTAAGTTCCATAATTTTATCAAATTAATTAAATGACAAGTTGATGATGGTTGGTGCAATCTATATGTCTCCTGTGATTTAAGTTCACGAAGAATTTGAGAAACTAGCGTTTTACAAATAATAAAAAGATATTGTAAGTTTGGTGATCAGAGTCAGTTTTTATTTGCGCTAAACCTGTATAATTTCCAGGGCTTGAAATTTGCTTAAGTGCAATCAAAGTGTGTGCAACGAGCGCAGTAATTCAAAAGGAGGCTAAAAACATATGGAATATGCGGTTTTTTAATCAATATTAGGAAAAAAACACGGAGCTTTGTATGTAAAACATTTTCACGAATAAAATTTCTGTAAATTACGGTTGACCTGTTCTGCTCGAACAACCACCACAGAAAATTAACTAAGATTGTTATTAGATTTTATTAAAATATTTTATAATAAATTCTAAACAATAAATTTAAAATTTTATAATATTTAAAAAATATTTTAAAAAATTTTGTAATATATTTGAATATCTCAAGTTATAAAATTCAAAAAATATTACAATATTAAAGTATTGTTAAAACAAAATATACTTTAAATCAAGTAAAAAAGAAAATACAATTGCATAAAAAAATAATATTAATAATATTCTAATAGACATTTAATCATCATAACGTTGTTTTTTAACGTTATATCATTCTTTGATGATTGTTCTTATTATCGCATGGCTCATAAACATGAAATATTATAAACAACAGTTTCGTGACCCATCAAATGGACGCATCCATATTTCCGTGAATCATGTTCGTTGCCTCGCACATCGTTGCTTCTCTAATACTCTAAATTGAAAGCTCTCTAACGCGTCTCTTATAAAGGAGATTAACAAGAAGGCATGATTGTTCTTCAAAGTCATATATAAGCTTTGTTGTATCGAAGGTAAGCGGTTCATTCAGAAATCTACTAAAAAAGATCCGACACGATACGGAAGGAACAGAGATTTCGCGGATATCCATATGTTCGAAGATATTGGGAATAAAGAGCCAAGAGCAGAACGAATCGCTTTAGTTGTAATGCGGATCACGGAGCATTATTTATTAATAGCAAAGCTGGTGTAGCCGGCGCAAGGGAGTGGCAGTGCCATGCTAAAGCAAGCGCGACAGCACCAGATCGTGGAACGGATCTTCGGATCTTTTCTCCCTTCCTCTTTTCCTTCCATCCTCCCTCTCCGTTTCTCTAGCTCTTTCTGTTTCTCCAACGAACCATCTCTGTTTCCTATCTCTTTCTTTCTCTTTCATTCGTATTTACACTCTCGTTCCCTATCTTTTCTCTTTGCTCGTCCCTTGGTCCCTCTTTTTCCATTCGTTTCTCCGTCTGATCGAAGAGCTCTCTTTCTCTCAGTCTCTCCATGTGTTCTTCGGTCTCTCTATGTTTTTCTCCTTCCCCCATCGCGCCGCAGCGTACCATTCGTCCGGCGTTGCTCAAGCTTTCTCTTTCCGCTTCTCTTCCTTCTTGCTCTGTATTATGCTACCTTACTGGTTGGTTCACTTTATCTATTATCTCTCTCGCATGCTTTGCCTGGTGAGCATTGTCGCGCTCCTACTCGTGAGACAGCACGCCGTTGTAGGAGAGTGGATGAACGCTTTGTCGGCGCCCGCGGCTGAGATCAAAGGCGCCGACCGCTTCCTCCTTCCCCCCACCCCCGCTCCGGCTCGACTGGCCCGTAATCCAACCGAGGCTCTCTCTTTCCTCTCTCTCTCCCCCTCACGTCGCCGCCACCGCCGCTACCCAACCCCTCTATCCCACGACCCTCCCCTTCCGACGAATCCATCCAGCAAAGGTACCCATAAACGCTCAGTCCCGGGCTGTTCTGGCCTGATGAGAGAAAAATCTCTGACGGGTAGCAACCACACACGTTCAGTCCGGGTTTGTCGGTCGCTGATTACACACCCACGGAAAAATAGAACGGGAAACCAGCGATAACGATAATTCCGCTTGAATGAACCCTTTGCTAAGCTAGACACGCGCATAGGGAACGCGTTGGCGCATCTTATGTAGGGATGAGCTAATTTTTATGAAAGAGTATGAGATTCTTCGAATATGGCTTGTTCGTAAATCTTAGATGTCTGGACCGGGTACGTTAAATTAATATGACCTAAAATGAGATAAAGTTATTATAAAATAATATACGAATTGAATATTAGATAGCAATCAAAAAAATTCTTACCTCAATATTTATGTTTAAAGATAATATAAATTTTTAATTTATATATAATATATGTAAATATAATAACTAATTGTTAATCTGAAATCAATGTTGAATTGATAATTAATATATATTTATAATTGATAATAAATAATAATTAATAAGTAAATAATTTTTCTGTATCTTTCTAAAAAGTTTTATTCATTGTTTTTATTTTAAAGTTTAAATTTGCAAATTATTTATTTAAGAAATTAAAAACTAGTCATCTTTATCTCATACTAGATATTCGATTTCTAATGTATAAATAATTATTTTTAATTAGATTTATAGTTGTATATTAATTCCCAACTATATTAAATTGCAATTAATAAAATTAATAAAATCAATTAATAAAATCAATTAATTATTTATTAATTATTAAATAGTTTTGAAATATAATATATTTATCATTCAACAAACAAATTCCATACCTAAACTTTTAAGAATCAGCTTTTAAAAATTCCAACTTTTGAATTTTCTTTAAATTAGACATCTGTCAGATACGAGGAACGTATAACGAAACCGACGTCAGAGTTGTCTGTTTCTCGGCATTGGCGTTGCTGTTCGCTTGCTTACCGTCGTGGCTGCTGCTGTTACTTCTGATGCTTGCGGCAAAATTGTATTATAGCCTTTCCTGTCGTATTCTGTCGTACGACGTCCTCCTTTGCCGACCTCCGTATACCTTCCACGATACCTTGTGATAAATACTCGCGCCGCTCTTTTTACACGTTACTGCCTAATTAGCGTAATTATAAGATCCGGTCGTGGACCTTCTTTCCTCTCTTATTTCTTCCTTTCTCTTCTTCATCCTCTCCTTCCTGTTTTTCTTTGGATGGTCCATTTGAAAAAAAAAAGAAAGGGATTGAATATTTCCGAAACACATTCCGAGAATTTTAAAGTTTAAATTTTATAGAATTTTTGTAGAATTTTTTTTGTAGAATTATTATTATTTTACAGAATGTCTTGTTTTTAATAATTTATAGAAGAATAATATTTTAGTTTTGTTTTTGTAATTTAAAATTTTTTATAATTGATTATATATTACAATATTAAGAAATATGAAACTTCAATTTTGTATTTAAACAAATCAAAATTTGACTAAAAATATGTCAATAATAATAATTTAATATATAATTTAATATATAATAAAAATTAATAATGAAACAAATAATTTCTTTTAAATCTCAATGTTTAATTATTGCGTCGTATAACAGAAAAATTCCCGTGCATATTTCAGTGTCGTCTAACATTTTAATTCACGCCCACTTCCCCTTACACGTAGAGTGTTAACTGATGCAATGATAATGACTTTGCCGTGATGCATTTTATATTTTTATAACGTCAGAAAACTCAAATTAACAATCGAATGTCATTTTAGAATAATTAAAAAAAATATAAATCGATAGCAATAAAGTATATATTTGTATTGTTAATTACTGCATTGATAAAAGTAGTAAATACTGTGAGAAACATCGCAATCATTAAAAGATAGATTATTATCTTTGACATTTAAAAGACAAAGTAATGCCCGAGTTGAACTTTTTGATAACGAAAATTAAGATAAAATGATTTACTTAGTAGCAAGGAAAAGCTAAGATGAATAATATATATATATTTATATTGCTCATTTTAGGTTAATTTAAATAAAATTCACTCAAAATAATCAAAGAATTATCTAAAAATATTAAAAATGAAGCATTCGTACAAATTTTAAAGAGATAAAAATTTTCTAACCTAAATATATATAATAAATAAATAAGTACCTAGTATAGTATTCAAAGTTTCTTAGAAATGATTTCTTTATTATATATTTCGTATTCTATGAGAATATATTTGAAATATATTCTACTTCTCTTCAATTTATACTATTCTTTTATTATTAATATATAAAAAAAACTTTTAAAGTACTATACATAGAAGAGTTTACGTTCTTAGATCGAATAGCAGATCGATGACCGTATCGAAGAATGTATGACGCTTCCTATTCACCACCGCGAGAGGGCAATTTTCTTTAATAGTGCAACAGCCTTTTACCGGCGTGCCATATACACGCTATTCGCACGTAACATTACATAATAACGCAAACGAAACGAACGCCAAGCCGGACAACGCTTTCAAATGGGCGATACCATGCAAAAGCCGGCGTGTCGTATTCGCAAAGACCAATCGTACCTCTCTCCAGACGACAGGAAGACAGTTCACTGAAAACAGTTTATTATTAATAGATATGCTTTAGTTTCCTGAGCGAGTTGTCGGCTTTATTTCGAGGTTAGTCTGTACTGAATTTTTGAACCGTACGTTTTATTCTCCTTGCTGCGTGGCCCTTCCTCCCTCCCTGTACCCCTCTCTGTAGCCCCAGCCCGACCATTCCTTCCTCAGCCCCTGCTGAGCGGTTGTCGTTTTCCTTTTGCCTCCTCCCCTCTACTCTTCTCTTAAAAACGAGACTCGCCACCGACTTTCCGACAAAGGAATAAAGAAAAGAAACAACTAGCCACGCTACGCGGTTGAGGATGGCACGGCAAACCGTAGCACAGCGCAGCACAGCACGGCATAGCGTGGCATGGTGGGTAGAGACTTTCCGTACAGGGAGAGCAAGGGGTACTTGCCATGCCAATGGCGCGGATACTTAGGGAACATGTTTTAATTTTCTTGTATCATTTGCAATTTCTAATTGTTTATAATTATTGTATTGTATATTTTGTTTTTTTTATTATTTGTAAATATCATTATTTTGATTAATATAACATGAAAATTCATTAATGATATAAAATAAATGACAAAATTTTTGATATTTCATATTATTCAATTTATTGATTTATTTTAATTTTAATAAAAATTTAAATTATTACGTATATTGAGTAATGATTTTTTTAAATTAGTGATTTGTAAAGAATAAGAATGTTATTTAATATATAAAATAATAGTCTGATAGCAATATTCCTTGAATAAGAAACGAGTTTTTGTATATATATGACAAAGTGTTTTTCGGTAAAGTTCATTCATCAGATTGTCAAAGGTGACGCCTATGTTTCTTCTGAAACACCGCTAGGAGATAATAGCGTGCGGGTACAGTCTCCAAAAAGAGTATTTCTCATTTATCTCACTACACTATTATATTTATGTACTTTAACCTTGAATAATTGAAAAACAAATAATAAAATATTTAGTAAGTAGCATTTATTTTAATTTTTTGAAATTATATTGATTGAGTGCATCATATCAAATGTTTTTCTATGCATTAAATAAATAGTTGAAACTTATGAAAAATAACATAAAATTATTCAAATTATAATTTCATTTATTCAATATAATTTTGTCTAATCATAATTTATTTTTCAATGAATAAATACTAGATTAAATATTTTTATTAGATTATTAATGAAAACGACATCAAATTTAAGATATCTCTTAATCTTATGGATAAATATTTCACAAAGGAGCGTCGAAATATTAAGAATAATTATCATTATCTTTGGTGGACGGAAGATTAAAGCGCGAACCAAATAAAAAACAAAGACGACCCTAAACCATTATTCATTGGCTGAAGTTTGCCGCGACGGAAGGTACAGTAGTCGGTCGTGCGTCATTCCGACGAATTACGAGATTCCAGCGATGCTGTGACGGTTTGATGTAGATGATTTGGAATGATTAAACATCTGATCTTCTAGATAGAAACATTATTTTTCCAAATTCTTCAAAAGTGACTTTTTTTAAATCCGGATAATGTTCGCATATTGAAATAAAAATTCGAAAAGATTTTTGTGGCCGTAATAATCGAAATCCTCAGGAGGCTCCGGTTTCCCTTTTTACATGCCGTTCGACGTCGCGGCGTCGACATTTAGTGTCGTCGTAGACCACGTTGAACCATCATCGGCTTCCTTCAAAACCCCACCAGCCGTATAAAGCTATCCTTCTTCACCGTTCTCATAGACCTTCGCTGGATAAAAAAGGGAGAAGAGCAGGAGAAAAGGAAAGTATACGTATGATAAAATGAGTACGAAGATAAAAAAATGAAAGAGCAAAAGAGAAGGTAGATAGACAAGGAAGATAGAGAAAATATAGAAAATAGGATAGAAAATGTAAAAAAGGAAGAAATAGAAAGAAAGAGAGAAATAGAAACATGGAATAAAGAAAGAAAGAGAGTAAGAAAGATAGTCACTATAGTTAGAAGAGGAAGAAAATGAAAAGGAGATGGATTTCAAGGAAGAACAGAGAGAAACCGATGAAAAAGTGGCAACGGGAAGAAGGTACAAGAAAGATAGATAGAAAGAGCGTGAATCGGAGGTTTCGAGCCGCGCCTCCTACCTTCAGGGCCCATGTATCCACGGCTCGGCACTGTTGACGACGCAGCGCCCTATGGAAGGGGAAAGGGAATTACGGGGAACGTGGTTTAGGCACGAACGATCGTCCGTAGTCGTAGTCAGGCCACGAGTCGAGCTATGTCGTGTGACCGACCTCTCTTGTTGCGACCGTGTTTCTTTCTCTTTCGACGCTTTTACCTGGATTAAATTCTGACTGTTATTCGTTTCGTAATTGTACAGTTGTATATGCAATTAAGTTAAGTGACAAAAAAAAACAGTATGCAAGCACAAACGATTTCATCTTTGCATCAAAAGTATGGTAAACAAAACATAGAAAAACAAGAAGAGATTGGGCGCTAACTGGATCATTCTCAGTTTTAAACATAACACAACCCTCAAAAACACGTGTTCTTAATTGTGCATGTCGTACACATCGATTGTCGTGTCGTTAGCAGATGTCGGATAAGACACTATTAGGAAAATATGAATTTCGCGGAAGTGTGTTTATTTTTCGATTTCTAATAGTGTATAGAAAATTAAACATAAGAAGAGAACGACGTATGATTGTCAGGTGAAAATATCGTGTTTATATCATCGAATGCGACTCATATTCTTGGTGTGACATACGGTTGTTGTTGGAACACAAAGAAACAGGAAGAATTTAATACTTGACGAGTTTGGAAACAAAAATAAAAACAAAGTGGCGAAACAAGAAGCCTGGAAGGAAAGTGTGCGCAGCGTTTGTGGATGCATGAGGGTCTCATGGCTACCGGATTCGTAAAGTGGTGGCGAGCAAGGTTCCTCGCTGGTTATAGACCCTTTTCTGGTAAGTTCCTATATTGTCTTTTTCTTTTATTTTTATTTATTTATTTTATTTATTTGTCTTTATTCATCCGATTTTTCTTCTCTTATTTTTATCATGTTCACGCGCGAGATATCGATGTTCGTTAAAATCATGATGCATAGATAGATCAAGATATACCGTATAGGGATTTGTCCGGTCAATCCGGTTATAGGCATGATATTTTGCCCGACTTGCAAGGCGCGCGATATGTGTTTCTCGATGATGCTACTGCAGTATGACAGAAGTGGATCCCACGTGGTGTTACGTCATACTTGCATTTTTCTTACCTTTGATCTATAATTATATTCTGTTCAACATTTTTTTGTTATTTAATCTTCATTTTCTCTTTTCTATTTCTTAAATAATATAGAATAAATAGAAAAATAGAAGTGAAATTTAAATATATATTTAATAATTTTTAATATTTCTTTATGCAATAAAATAACATATATTTTTATTTATTTTTGTATAAATGATTAATTCGATCATTTCGAATAAATTTATCATTGGAGATATTTTATTCTGCTTATATAATATTCATGCGACTGCATATTTACTTTGAAAAAAATGTTATCATGTTGAACATATAGGTAATCATTCATAAAGTATCATAATAAAAATAAATTGAAAAATTTTATGGTTTTTATCGTTTATTAATTAGAAAAATATAAACATAATTGAATAATATTTATTCTAAATTAATATTAATTTATTTTTCACATTTTGATTTTCATAAATGTTTTACATGAAGATAAATATTTGAGTAGTTTATACTGAGGACGGCACTAGCAAATTACTACTTTATCATTATATGGTAATATTTTTCAATAAACTAAAAAACATTTAATATGTAAATAAGTAATAAATAATAATATAGCTATTTTATAAATAAATAGCAAAATATATAATAAATGAAAACAATATTTATTATTTATTATTTATTATTTTTATATAAATTATTCATCAATTATTTTAATATTTTAATATATTTTTTTTTAAATATTTTAAAGATAATGATCAAGAATTTAAAAAAAAATTGATAATTTTTTAATAATTTCAATGAAAATATTTTAATTGTATAAACAAAATTTAATATATTTACTATATAAAATATTTCTAATCATGTTTCAGAATTTGAAAAATTTTAATTAATCAATCGAAATTGTATGTAAATTTTAGAAATGTATCTTTTAAAATTTAAGATTTTTTTAATTTATAAAATATTTTATAATATATTTTGTAATATATTCAACAAATAATAAAAAGTTGATAAAAATTTCATATTAAAACTATATCAAGGCAATGATAAATATTTCAACATTTTATTCAACAAAAATGAAAAAATTATCCTTGATATTTTATTGTAATCAACAAAATTTTATTCCATTCTAATGTTTGAATTCAATCCTATATATTTTATAAATTCATTTACTTTATTTGTTTATTAGAAAATATGCAAAAAGTTCGAAAAGAGAAAAGGAAGAGGAAAAAAAAAAGAAATATAAAAAAGAGAAAGAACGTAGTATTTTTATACATCGTTAGCGATAAGGAACTGGTCGAAAATCATTCAACAATTTTCAGAGCTCTTCTATCGGAGCAGCGGATTTCGCTTTTGAAGCTCGACCGATCTCAAGTTCTCTTACGGCACTCCTCTTTATGGCTGTTTTCTCGTGCGTCGTAGGGCAAAATTTTCATACGAGTTGAGAGGAACTGTAGGGGGAGGGAAAGCTGTTGCGTCGGCAAATGATAAAAGTTACGAGCCTAGCAAACAGAAAGGGGTGATTTACAAAGAAGAAAGCAGAAGCCGTTTGTGTCCCGCTCCCCCGTTGCTTTTCATTCAAGAGGGCGCAAAAGCGGTACGGTACACACGGCATAAACACACGCGTGTGCTCGCGGACACACGTATACTATTTATGTATACTATTTGTACGTAGAGAAGGGTCGCGCGTCAAGGGTGGAGTTTAATTATCGAGACCTTGCGAGTTCGTTACATGCATTAGTCTGGTGGTTAGATAAAAGGTGTTCGCGGGTATTCTCTATTTCTTTAGTGTAATAGCAAAGATTCTCTCTATTCTCTATTCTCTCTTTTTAGCCTTCCCCTTACCGTTCTGTTACTCACAGTTTTTGTTTCTCTTTATTCTTTCATCGTTCTTTCCTTTTCTTTCTGCTGTGCTCTTATGTCTTTTTCCTTCTCTCTCACTCTCTTCTGTTTGACTCCCTTTTTTCTTCCCCAGTGCGCTCAGTGTCTTGGGTCTTTAACGCTCGCCCCACGAAAGAGTTACGGGCGTAATTACCACACGGCAGGTATCATTATACGCGTATATGCATCCGTTTCTTTATGCAGATACGATTATCCAGCTTTTTCTTCTGTTTTTTTTTTCTAATTTTTTTTTCTTTTTAATATTTGATCTCTGTTTCATGTTCGATCTTCTTTT